TCCTCAGCAGCGTAGGAAAGCATAAATAAGAGGACTGCAGTTCAGGCTGGCTCAGCCATAAAGAAAGATCCTGCCTCAAAAATAAATGCAAGAGCCTGGTGCTGGTGGCTCCATGCCTGGTAATCCTAGCTACTCAGGAGGCTGAGATCTGAGGATCGCTGTTCAAAGCCAGCCCGGGCAGGAAAAATCTATGAAACTCTTATCTCCAATTAACCACCAAAAAACCAGAAGTGGCACTGTGACTCAAGTGGTAAAGCACTCATGTTGAGCTGGGACAGTGCCCAAAGTTCAAGCCCCATGACCAATAAATAAATAAAAGCAAGAAAGGGCTCAGTGTGTGCTCAAAGAGGTAGAAGTGCCTATCTTGCAAACATGAGGCCATAAGTCTAATCCCTAGTACCTCCAAAACAACAGCAAAGTGCAAATGGGGGAGACAAAAATGCAAAGGCTGCAATTATGTGTATTTCCAGAGATACATCCTGCAGGTTCTGATGCCACTTCCTACTAACTTCAGTTACATTTTCAAGGTTTTCTCGGGGTGTATATATGAGTCCAAGCATATTTCCAATGTCAACCTGTATCCGAGTGTTAACATCAATTTAGTTGTAGGTTTGGGGGGGTTGATTTTGTTGTTGTTGCGGCGGGGGGGCCTGAACTCTGGGTCTGGGCGCTGTCCCTCAGCTCTTCAGCTGTAGACTAGTGCTCTACCACTTGAGCCACAGCCCCACTTTCAGCTTTTTCTGCTTATGTGGTGCTGAGGAATTGAACTGAGGGCCTCATGCATGCAAGGCAAGCACTCTACCACTGAGCCACCTTCCCAGTAGCAAGTATTTTGTTAATCCAAATGGACAGAAAAACAACCACTCCACTGTTTTCCATGTAAATATTTAAGACAAACTTAAATATTTAGGTATCCTCATGTATCAAAGGATAGTGATTGATCATTTAAGGAAAGGGAGGGGGACTGGGAATGTGGCTTAGTGGTAGAGTGCTTGCCCTGCCTGCATGAAGCCCTGGGTTCCCATTCCTCAGTACCACAAAAACAGAAAAAGCTAGAAGTGGTGCTGTGGCTCAAGTGGTAGAGTGCTAACCTTGAGCAAAAGAAGCTCAGGGACAGTGCCCAGGCCCTGTGTTCAAGCCCCAGGACTGAGAAAAAAAGAAAAAAGAGAAGGCGATTGACTCATACAAGTGAATGGGATCAAGAGCTCTTTAAAGAGTTTACTTCTAATATTCAGTTGGCATTGATTCTGTGATTTCTTTATCCAGCCTAAGATTTTTTTTTTTCCGGCCGTTGGGCTTGAACTCTGGGCCTGGGCGCTGTCCCTCAGCTCTTCAGCTCAAGGCGAGCACTCTACCACTTGAGCTACAGCACCACTTCCAGTTTTCTGGTGGTTTATTGGAGATAGGAGTCTCACAGTCTCTCCTGCCCGGGCTGGCTTTGAACCTCAATCCTCAGATCTCAGCCTCCTGAGTAGCTAGGATTACAGGTGTGAGCCACCAGCGCCTGGCCAGCCTAAGACTTTTTATACTTCACTTTCAACAAGATTCCTCTGAATCACCTTAACCCCTGGTGAAATATTTTGTTAACAGAGCTTGATCACAGATCTTTGTTACTTCTGGTTTAGTCTGAAATTGTTTTTGGATCTCCTCAATGCTAAACACTTACTTTAACCTTGTTCTGTAAACGTTGTGATCTAATTATTTTCAAGTATGCTTGAGTTAACAAGATGCAGCAGTGGGTGTGCCTTCTACAGCTGCAAAGTCCACTTGTACATTCCTTACAAATAAGATATAGTCCAGTATTTTACATCTTAGCAACCGTTGATAAGAAAAACAGCAAAAAGGTAATCATTTCCATATGGAAAGAAAAGGAAGAAATAGTGAAGCTGTGAAGTGTCATTTTTCCATATTAAAATAGAAGTCACTACTGGTAGATTTGGCAGAACAGGTAATGTTCCTAGTTGTCCCCATTTTACATTTATGAATACATTCTATGTGATGTATTTATTGAAATACACCATTCCTCTCCAACTTAGTTGCCAATTTTCATCTGTTTGGTTCTCTTGAGTAAAATTCATATCTCACTGTTAATTTTATCAAGTAATGTATTACTTGGTGATTTTTTTTTGTCAGTTATTGGGATTGAACTCTGGGGGGGGGCCTTGGGCAGTGTCCCTCAGCTCTTCAGCTCAAGCCCAGAGCTCTACCACTTGAGCCACAGTGCTGCTTCTGGTTTTCAGGTGGTTAATTAGAGATGAGTCTCACAGATTTTCCTGCGTGGGCTGGCTTTGAACTGTGATCCTCAGATCTCAGCCTCCTGAGTAGCTAGGATTATAGGTGTGAGCCACTGGCACCCTGCCAACTTGGTGATTTTCTTACGTTTAGTGAAAAACTGTACAGCACTTACCTGTTACACATATAACTTTCTTATGCCAGATAAACACCTATAAGTCATTTAAGAGCAACAATTGAATCAAATAAGCCTCTGTTCTGGAAATTCTAAGATAAAAAAAAATCTGATGCAATTTCTCATGCCCAGAAAGTTTAAGTACACATTTGCATGTTTGCATATTTGAACATGTGTATTTGAACATTTGAACATGATAAGCATTTATTACCCAAACTCTCACATTATCCTCAGCCCTGTCCTCCCAACCCTGCCTTTTCTTTCTTTTCTTTTTTTTTTTTAACTGTATTTTTTTTTGTCTTTTCTTTTTTGGTACTGGGGAGCGAACCCAGGACATTGCACTTGCTAGGCAAGCGCTTTGCCACTGAGCTACATCCCAGCCCCCCCCCTTTTTTTAATTCTTTTTATTAATGTTTTTTATTGTAGAAATACCATAGAGAGGAGTTATAGTTACATGAGTAAGGTAATGAGTACATTTCCTATGGAGCATTATTACCTCCTCCTTTGTTTTTCCCCTACAATCCCTTCCCTCCCCACCTCCCCCATTCTTCCCCCCTCCCCCCCTAGGACTTTTCTTTCTGGGGAATAGATAGATGGGTAGTACTGGGCTTCGAACTTAAGGCTCTGATGCTTTCTAGGCTGGTACTCTATCATTTGATCCATTACTCCAGCCCCTTTTTTTCAAGATAGAGTCTCTTGAACTTTTCTGCTGAAGCTGCCTCTCAAGCCACAATCCTTCTATTCTCATGAGAAAGAGCCAGGGGCTGGGGATGTGGCTCAGTGGTAGAGTGCTTGTCTAGCATGCTTGAAGCCTTGGGTTTGATTCCTCAGCACCACATGAACAGAAAAGCCAGAAATGGTGCTGTGCTCAAGTGGTAGAGTGCCAGCCTTGCGCAAAAGAAGCTCAGGGACAGTACCTAGGCCTTGAGTTCAAGACCCAGGACTGGCAAAAAAATAAAATAAAATAGAGCCGGGCACCCATGGCTCATGCCTGCAATCCTAACTACTCAGAAAGCTGAGATCAGGACTGGGAAGTTGGCTCAGTGGTAGAGTACTTGCCTTGTATGGAGGCCCTGGATTCGATTCCTCAGCACCACCTAAGCAGAAAAAGCCGGAAGTGGTGCTGTGGCTCAAGTGGTAAAGCGTTAGCCTTGAGCTGACGAGCTGAGAGACAGCGCCCAGGCCTAGAGTTCAGGCCCCACAACCGACAAAAAAAAAAAAAAAGGCTGAGATCTGAGGATCACTGTTCAAAGCCAGCAGGGCAGGAAAGTCCATGAGACTCTTATTTCCAATAAACTACTCAGAAAAAGCTGGAAGTGGTGCAGTGGCTGAAGTGGTAGAGTGCTAACCTGAGTTCAAGCCGTAGGACTGGCACAAAAAAATAAGTAAATAAAAGAGAAAGACAGTTTAAGAGAGAGGAAAACTGTGTGCAAATGTTTGTATTGCATGCCAGTACTAGGCCTCGAAGCCTGCCCTTATGCTGTTGTTTAGACTAATTAAAAAATTATGACTGGCCCTCTACCACTGAGTCCACAGTTTTGTTAAATGGCAGGTTAAATAGAAGATGGAGTCTTCAGGTTTTTCTTCCTGCGCTACCTTTGAACTGAGATCTTCAAGGTCTCAGTTACTTGAGTAGCAAGGATTACAGGCATAAAACACCAGTTTATCTTATTCTATTCAAAATAGATGTTTATACTATCATTAGACAATACCTCCCCCTTGTGGTTCAAAGCACTTATTTCAGGTATCAAGAACAATTCCAAACTCAGTTTGCAACTGTGCTATGAAAATTTATATTTAATGAATTTATTTTTTGGTGTAGAGAGGGAAAATATAGACAGACAGAAGAGTCCCTTTTATTTACTGCTTTTTTTTGGGGGTCTGGTTGTGGGGCCTGAACTCTGGGCCTGGGCGCTGTCCCTCAGCTCTTCAGCTCAAGGCTAGCGCTCTACCACTTGAGCCACAGCTCCACTTCCGGCTTTTTTTCTTTTTGCTTATGTTGTGCTGAGGAATCAAACCCAGGGCCTCAGGCATGCAAGGCAAGCGCTCTACCACTGAGCCAACTTCCCAGCCTATTTACTGTTATTTTGTGCCAGTTCTGGGCTTGAACTCAGGGCCTGGGCACTTGTCCCTGAGCTTCTTTTGCTCAAGGCTAGCACTCTATCACTTGAACCACAGCACCATTTCCTACTTTTTCTGTTTATGTGGTACTGAGGACTCAAACCCACAGCTTCATGCATGCTAGGCAAGCACTCTACCACTAAGCCACATTCCCAGCCCCTGGAATATTCCCTTTTCTTGGATACTTCTGGATTCCCACATCTCAGCAAAGTTTTTTTGAGCTGGACGCAGTAGCATATACCAGCTATTTGGGAGTTAGCAAAACGCTTGAGCCAAGGGGTTTCTAAAAAGCCAAGGCAACACAGGAAAGACCTGGGTCCTTACAGAAGCACCATTATTTTCTCCTTACTTGTAAAGTGACAAGTAGTTATCCTCCATCTGAAGTTTTCTTTATTTCCCCAGATGGGTACAGTATGAAGAATGGAATCTGCATTTGATTTTTTATTACTTTTAATACACTCAGTGACAAAGAAAGTATTGAGAATATTTTATTTCAAAAATGTCTTAGGATATTTTCCCATTTATTCAAGATCAGAGGTTACTATAACTGGTAACAACTTGTTCTAACAATGTAAAACTGTCCAAAAAGTCCTCTTCTTCAATTCCATATTTTGTGTACTGATGAATATAGGCCCTAGTGGAGGAAAAAAAGTTAGACAGAAACAGAAAATGTAAAATAGACAATTACAGGTAAATGAATAACTTGAAACACTAAACAGACCTAGTTCTTTTGAGCAATTTGACTTTGACAGTAATTATCAGTTGGTAGAAGACAAGAAGCATGTTAAAAGAATCTTTTCCTCTCTCACAAAGGTCTTATTTTTGAAAACTATTGTTCCTGTGTTATAATGAAATTTCAAATTTCCTTTGGCTTAGAAAGGAAATTAGTCAACAAACATCTATGTAATAATACTAATTAATAGGCTGGGAAGGTGGCTCAGTGGTAGAATGCTTGCCTTGCATGCATGAGGCCCTGGGTTTGATTCTTCAGTACCACATAAGTAGAAAAAGCTGGAAGGGCGCTGTGGCTCAAATGGTAGAGCGTTAGCCTTGAGCTGAAGAGCTGAGGGACAGTGCCCAGGCCCAGCGTTCAGGCCCCACGACCAAACCCTCCCCCCCCAAAAAAAAACCAACTAGTTAGTATAGAATAATTACTGAGCACATATTAGCCAGGTAATACACCAAGTGTTTTGTTGTTTTTGTTTTGTGTGAGCCACAGCGTCACTTCTGGTTTTCTGGTGGTTAATTGAAGAGTCTCATGGATGCTCTTGCCTGGGCTGGCTTTGAACTGTCATCCTCAGACCTCAGCCTCCTGAATTGCTAAGATTACAGGCGTGTGGCAATGGAGCCCAGCTGTACCAGGTGTTTTAATTCCATTTAATCCTCACTATAGTTTCCAGTAAACCCCAATGCCTGGAAGAGGAAATGAGGCCTGAAGTCACAGGCTCAGGCTTCACACCTCCAAAATACTAGACATGCTTGCCCCATAACACACCCTGTGCTTTATCACTGTATTATCTGTGCAAGGTTAGGAAGGTTCGTAGATATATCTTTATGTCTTTTACTTACTTTGAAGCAAACATGTTCCATGCTTTACCCACAATCATATCAAGTGGCTTCACTAAGAACTGGCTGTTGCTGACCAGCGCTGCTGACTTCTCATACTTGTTAAAGGCTCGCTGGGTTTTCCACACATGGAAAGCATGAACAGGATCTAACCAGGAAGTGTACAGAGCTGGATCTTTAAATCCCTCTAAAGAGAGGACAATATGAATATAATGAAAGTATTTACTATGCAAGTATGAAAATGTCATATTCTTATTATTTTACACAATATATACTAATAAAAAAAAAGGAAAACCAACATGAACCTTTTTTTTGGTTGGTCATGGGGCTTGAACTCTGGGCCTGGGCACTGTCCCTCGGCTCTTCAGCTCAAGGCTAGTGCTCTACTACTTGAGCCACAGCACCACTTCCGGCCTTTTCTTCTTATGTGGTGCTGAGGAATTGAACCCAAGGCCTCATGAATGCAAGGCAAACACTCTACCACTGAGCAACCTTCCCAGACCATAAACCATTCTTATTTTTGTACTTTATATTTTGGGGGTTTTGGTTTGGTATTTTGCTTTTTGAGACAAAAGGAGTCTCACTATGTAGCTCAGCCTGGTCTCAAACTTGCCTCCTCCACCTTAACCTTCCAAGAGATATGATTAATGGCTTGGGTTACTACAGCATAAATTATTGGCAAGTGCTGGGGATTGAACCCAACATCTAGTTCATGCAAGGCAAGAGCTCTGCTAAGATATACCCAGCCCTATTTTGTCTTGTAAAATGGTATTATATTGCTTTTGGATGAATCATCTATATTCATTACCCAGAATATGTAGCTGTAATTGTTTTTTTAATATTGTACTAGACACTGAACTCAGGGCCTTGTCCTTACAAGGTAACATGCATTTTCCTTTTACCAATGAGTTATAAACTTCTTTGCCTGACGATAAAGATCACTCAGCTTTAAAGTTTCTTGTATGAATATTCTAGTTTGAGAAGTTTCCTACAATAGATATTTACTTTTTTTCCCCTGGGGCTTGAACTCAGGTCTAGGCACTGTCCTTGAGCTTCTTTTGCTCAAGGCTAGCACTGTACCACTTTAGCCACAGCACCACTTCTGGCTTTTTCTGTGTATGTGGTACTGAGGAGTCAAACCCAGGACTTCATGCATACTAGGTAAGCACTCTACCACTAAGCCACATTCCCAGCCACATCTACATTTGTTGTTGTTGTTGTTGGTGGTGGTAGTCATAGGGCTTGAATCTGAGCCCTGTCACTGAACTTTTTTGTTCAAAGCTAATGCTCTAACACTTTGAGCCACAGCGCCACCTCCAGTTTTCTGGCGGTTAGTTGGAGAGAAAGAGACAGATTTTTCCTGCCCAGACTGGCTTCAAACCATGTTCCTCAGATCTCACTCTCCTGATAGCTAGGATTACAGGCTTGAGCCATCAAAGCCTGGCGATGGTTACATTTTGACACTAAAACAATGAAGCTACTAATTTTCTTTCTCTAAGAATGTAGAGATTGTTGCTGGTTTCTTGGGGGTATGGGTACTTGCTTGTAATCCCAGCATGGCTGTAGGCAAAGGCAGGAGGATTTTTTAATTCAAAAAAGGTCATGTGCTGGTAGCTCAGACTTATAATCTTAACTACTCATAAGTCTAAAACCTGAAGATTGCAATTCAAAGCCAGCCTAGGCAGGAAAGTCCATGAGACTCTTATCTCTAGCAAAAAGCCAGAAGTGGAACTGTGGCTGAAGGGGTAGAGTGCTAGCCTTGAGCAAAAAAAGCTAAGTGACAGCACCTAGGCCCTGGGTTCAAGCCCTACTGCTGGCAAAAAAAACCCAAACAAACATGTATATATATATTATAGACTTAAAAAACTTAATGCCGGTGGCTCACGCCTATAATCCTAGCTACTCAGGAGGCTGAGGTCTGAGAGTCTCAGTTCAAAGCCAGCCCAGGCAGAAAAGTCTGTGAGACTCTTATATCCAATTAACCACCAGAAAACCGGAAGTGACGCTGTGCCTCCAGTGGCAGAGCGCTAGACTTGAGTTGAAGAGCTGAGGGACAGCGCTCAGGCCCAGAGTTCAAGCCCCAGGACAGACAAAAGAAACAAAAACAAAAACAAAACTTTACACTAACATGGTTCAAATGTACACCTTAACTTCTGCTTACCCACATCTGCACTTTGCACACCTTTACCACGAAGAATGACCAAGTTTGCAATGGAAGTGTTAAACTGAAGTTCCTTGTTGAGACACATTTTGCCAAGAGGTGGAAGTCCTGCTAAAGGAGGCCGTACTTGCCAGTCAATACCTGCCGCAAGAAAATAAAAGCAATTAGCACTGAACATGATGAGAAAAAGTCACATATGGATATTTTACGTAAGTATTTGCTATGTACGAGTTAACTTTTTCTCTAAATATTTTCTTTCTTTCTTTCTTTTTGAAGTGCCATACCAGGCCTTGCACAGGGCAGGCAAATGTTCTCTCACTAAGCTATACGACAAACATAAAAACTGTTGACTAAATTCCATCAGAAATTTACTTATTACTTTGTGTGTGTGTGTGTGTGTGTGTGTGTGTGTATGTGTGTACTGTTGGGGATAAAATCTAAGGTCTTAGACATCCTAAGCAAGTGCTGTAAAACATAATTCTTGAATGCTTAAATTAGTTTGAAGTAAGGTCTACCTATGTAGCACAGGATGTTCAGTATATAGTCCAGGCTAGCCTCTAATTTGAGATCCTTCTGCCTTCATCCCCTAAGTGCTGGGGTTATAGGTGTGTGCCACTATGCTTGGCCTTTACTTTTATACTTTCCTTGTGCAAGTTGGGAGGCTTGAATTCAGTGCCTCAGGCTTGATTTAGTGCTTCAGTCTAGCCGTAATTGGAAATTATGGGTAATTGGAAATAAGAGTCTCACAAATCCTCAGACTCAGATCTCATCCTCCTGTGTAGGTAGGATTATAGGTGTGCCCTGCTTTATTTTTTATTTTATTTTTGAGTCTGGTCGTGGGGCCTGAACTCTGGGCCTGGGAGCTGTCTGTCCCTCAGCTCTTCAGCTCAAGGCTAGTGCTCTACCACTTGAGCCACAGCGCCATTTCCAGCTTTTTTCTTTTTGCTTATGTGGTGCTGAGGAATCGAACCCAAGGCTTCATGCATGCTAGGCAAACACTCTACCACTAAGCCACATTTCCAGCCCCCTATCAGTCTTAAGCATATACTACAAGTATAACAAATGAACTGGTTAAGACTTTCCATTCTGTTTTCACATTGGATGACTATTATTTTTTAACTGAGCATTGATGATCTCTGTGTGTTTTCATTCAGTTTTGTTCTCTGTGTCTCCAGAACATTGGTGATATAACAGTGCTTAAGGGAATTGATGACAAAAAGAAAACCAGTGGCCTTAAGCTGGTTTTGCAATTATGCAGATCTCATCCGTTGGAGGAATGCCACTGAGCTTCCCCTGTACACCACCCGGAAGAAAGCTAAGGGCTACTCTTATTTATTTATTTATTTATTTATTTTTTGTTGGTCATGGGCCTGAACTCTGGGCCTGGGCACTGTCCCTCACCTTTTCAGCTCAAGGCTAGCACTCTACCACTTGAGCAACAGTGCCACTTCTGGCTTTTTCTGTTTATGTGGTGCTGAGGAATCGAACCCAGGGCCTCATGATTGCGAGGCAAGCGCGCTACCACTGAGCCACCTTCCCAGCGCCAGGGCTACTCTTCTTAAGACATTCCCCTCCCCCGCCCCAGCCCCCACCACATAACTGGGGCTGTCTACCAAACAGAATGTATGTACGACACAGGACAGGCAAAGGGGAGCTCCAGGATGATAAAGGTACTTACCACTGAATAAGGCAATAAAATAGAATCTCCATGGAGGCAGGTCAGAAAATTCTAGGGCAGACTTATTTTTTTCCCTTGAGATAAGGTCTTACTATGTTGCCCAGGTTGGTCTTAATCTTATGGACTCAAGGGATTTCCCACCCAACCTCACCAGTAATAGATGGGTTTATAACTGTGCACTTCCAAACCCCGTTGAGGATTTTTTTTTTCTTTTTAGGGGTTCTGAGGTTTGAACTCAAGGCCATGCCTAGTGAAAAACAAACCCCAAAATCTTCATTCATATGTTCAAACTGTATCCATAACTAACTGGGAAAAAACTTGGACAAGCTAAAGTCCCACATGGGAATATGACTAAGCAAACTCTGCTTTACTGACGGAAGAGAACACAGAGTGCTACGTCTCACACTACCCTAAGGAACACTGTGTTCATGAGATATTGACAGGTATTGCTAGAAAAACAAGTATCATAGCCAAAAAAATTCAGGAAGTACTACTTTAATTTCCAGCACTCCAGCACTGTATTTCAAAAACCATAAGCTATTATAAGCATATGCGAAGAAAATCCCCTTTCTTTTTCCTTTTTTTGCCAGTCCTGGGGCTTAGACTCAGGGCCTGGGCACTGCTCCTGAGCTTCTTTTGCTCAAGGCTAACACTCTATCACTTGAGCCACAGCACCATTTCCAGCTTTTTCTGTTTATGTGGTACTGAGGAATCTAACCCAGGGCTTCATGCATGCTAGGGAAGCACTCTACCACTAAGCCACATTCCCCTGCCTGAAAATTCACTTTCATAATATTAAAACCTGTTATTTTACTTTGCATTATGGCATGTTACTAAAATAATACATAGTGCTTCCTAGTTTACATGATAGACTATACAAACATACACCAGTTTACAGTCATTCTCTAATTCCCACTAAGATAACAAAGAGATTTCTTAAAAAGAGTAAATAAGGGGGCTGGGAAGCCCTAGGTTCGATTCCTCAGCACCACATAAACAGAAAGGCCAGAAGTGCTGCTTGGCTCAAGTGGTAGACTGCTGGCCATGAGCAAAATAAGCTCAGGGACAGTGCCCAGGCCCTGAGTTCAAGCCCCAGGACTCGCAAAACAAAAACAAAAAAGTACATAAGAAAAAAAATTTAACAGTTGTTGGGTCAATTAACCATCAAAAAAGTGAGAAGTAGAGGTGTGGCTCAAGTGGTAGAGTGCCAGTTTTTTGTTTTTGTCGGTTGTGGGGCTTGAGCTCTAAGTGGTTTATTGGAGATAAGATTCTCAGGGACTTTCCTGCTGGATTGGCTTCAAACCCTGATCCTCAGATCTCAGCCTCCTGAGTAGCTAGAATTATAGGTGTGAGTGCCTGGCACCCGGCTAAGTGCCAGTTTTGAGAGCTAACGCTAAAGGCCAGCATTCAGGCTTTTTTTTTTGGTTGGTTGTGGGGCTTGAACTCTGGGCTTGGGCACTGTCCCTCAGCTCTTCAGCTCAAGGCTAGTGCTCTACAGCTTGGGCCACAGCACCACTTCCGGTTTTCTAGTGGTTTTATTGGAGATAAGAGTCTCCTGGACTTTCCTTGCCTGGGCTGGCTTTGAACCGTGATTCTCAGATCTCAGCCTCCTGAGTAGCTAGGATTACAGGCGTGAGCCACCAGCACCCGGTTACATTCAGGCTCTTGAGTTCATGCCCCAGTAGTAACACACACACAAAAAAAGGCAACAGGAATGAAAAAAGCACCTACAAAATTTTAGAAATGGGAAAGGAAATGAACCACTGGTAACTGCCTGACCCAGGAAAGTTGAAACTTCTACCACCACTGTTGGAGGTCCTGGAACAGGCCAGGCGTTTCTAAAAGCAGCAAACAGGAGGATTAACAATCTGTATGAGCAGTAAGTAAGGAGCGCCCTAGACCTTTCCCCATCCTCGAAGCAGAAGGGTACTGCTCTCTCCCAGGTGTATGCTCTGATTTAAAGAAAGAAAAGAGAGAGAGAAAGAAAAGAGTGGGGGAGGAAAGGAGGGAAGGAGGGAAGGTAAGGAAGGAAGGAAGGAAGGAAGGAAGGAAGGAAGGATAAGGCTAATCCCATGAGACCCCAGGCACAGCTGTGCTGAGAACGTTAGGGAAAATTGGTCACTGCTTGGAAATTCTTCCCTATTAGATGGAAAAAAACGGGTAGCCAGGTTTAGAGACTTGAACCAAGAGCTTTGTGCATGTTAAGCAAAAGCACTATACTGGCTTACATCCCCAACCCCTGCTTTGTTCCAGCTTTGTTCCCTCTGGAAGCCCTTAGGAAAGCCTTTTGTCTCTTAACATTCTGAAATTCCTTGGTATGTATATTTCAACCATTTCAATAGAAGGTAGGATTCCACAACAGCAGAGATTGTTCTTTCATTTATTGCTGTATCTCCGGAGCCTGAAATGGTGGCACGGAACCCAGAAACTTTCAGTAAATACTGGCTAAATGAGACAGTATGGGCACTGAATGAACACTGAAGATGCACGTGGGTTTCATGTTGTGTGAGTTTGGATTTGCCTGGCCATTTGACTGATGGGCTCCCAGATATCATACTTGGCATATCTTAGATCTAGTCGTTTTTGCATCATGACCCAAATTTCATTGCACAGATTCTTGCCTGCATTTAATAATTTTGTTCATATTGTACCGCTTTGTGGCTTGTCAAAAGTGAATGCAAATCTTTTTTGTCATATTTACTATGTGACTCAGAGTAATTGCTTAATCCAATACTTTTCCCCCTGTATAATGAGAACCTGTATATATGTATATATATATATATACACGTATATATATTTCTCAGTATCTCGGCATAGAGTTAGGGGTGCCTGACTAGAAAAGGTGAAGCCTTCAAGGTCAAACCCTAGTAATGTACAACAAAAACAAAACAAAACTTGACACATTAAGTAGTTTGCTAATCTGTGATAATGTACCTTAGTAATATTACTAATTGTTAAGAAAACAAGATTCAAGCCAGGTACTGGTGGCTAGTGCCTGTAATTCTAGCTATTCAGGAGGCTGAGATCTGAGGATCATGGTTCGAAGCCAGACTGGACAGGAAAGTCCATGAGACTCTTAGCTTCAATAAACTACTTAGAAAAAGCTAGAAGTGGTGCTATGGTTCAAGTGGTAGAGCACTAGGTTTTTTGTTGTTTTTTTTTTTGGGTCTGGTTGTGGGGCCTGAACTCTGGGCTGGGCGCTGTCCCTCAGCTCTTCAGCTCAAGGCTAGCACCCTACCACTTGAGCCACAGGGTCACTTCCGGCTTTTTTCTTTTTGCTTATGTAGTGCTGAGGAATCGAACCCAGGGCCTCATGCATGAAAGGCAAGCGTTCTACCACTGAGCCACCTTCCCAGCCATAGAGTACTAGCTTTGAGCCAAAGAAGCTCAGGGACAGTGCCCAGGCCCTGATCAAGCCCCAGGACTGGCATGCGCGCGTGCGCGCGCGCACGCGCGCGCACACGCACACACGCACACACGCACACACACACAAACCCAACTATTCAAGTTCTTTTTTTTTTTGTCGGTCGTAGGGCCTCAGCTCTTCAGCTCAGAGTGAGCGCTCTACCACTTGAACTACAGCGCCACTTCCGGTTTTCTGGTGGTTTATTGGAGATAAGAGTCTCACGGTCTTTCCTGCCCGGGCTAGCTTTGAACTGCGATCCTCAGATCTCAGCCTCCTGAGTAGCTAGGATTACAGGCGTGAGCCACCAGCGCCCGGCTACTATTCAAGTTCTTTCTTCAACACTAAATTAAATAAATACTTATGTAGGCAAAGAAAGAAGAGAAAAACAAGAAAGAAAGAAAGAAAGAAAGAAAGAAAGAGAGGGGGAGGGAGGGAGGGGGGAGGGAAGGAAGGAGGGAGGAAGGGAAGGAGGGAAGAAAGGAAGATAAAGAAGGAAAGAAAGAAAAGACTTTTTTCCCCCCAGTCCTGGGGCTTGAACTCAGGGTCTGGGCACTGTCTCTGAGCTCCTTTTGCTCAAGGATGGCACTCTATACGACTTGAGCCACAGTGCCACTTCCAGCCTTTTCTGAGTAGTTTATTGGAGATATGAGTCTCACAGACTTTTCTGCCCAGGCTGGCTTCAAACTGTGATTCTCTGATCTCAGCCTCCTCAGTAGCTAGGATTACAGGCATGAACCACCAGCACCCAACTATAATGTGTGCATTTAAGTATACACTTAAATGAACTCTGGGTTTTAAAAAGAATGTTTTTTGGCAGTGCTGTGGATGAAGTCAAGAGCCTCCTGCAAGCAAAGCACACTACTGAGCTTTATCCCTAGCCCTTAAATGAGTTTAACTGCTTGACTGTTAAAACTATGTTCATGTATTACTTTGATTAAAATAAAAATCGGAAAAGCCATATGTCAGGAAATGACAAGAAATCCTCCTTGTGGTCCTGGTGAGTCTCACAGCGGCTCTGAGGCTGGAAGAAGGAACCTTATTCCAGCTGGCCCAGGCCAAGTCACATTCAAAACTGTTGTTTGAATCAGGCATTTTTCCAGCCTGTGGGCTGCATACATCCTTTTTTCTTCTTTAATTTTTCTTTTGTTTTGCCAATCCTGGGGCTTGAACTCAGGGCCTGGGCACAGTCCCTGAGCTTCTTGTGCTCAATGCTAGCACTCTACCAATTAAGCCCCTGTGGCACTTCCAGCTGAGGAATTGAACCCAGGGCTTCATGCATACTAGACAAGCACTCTACCACTAAGCCACATTCCCAGCCCTGGGCTGCATACTTTTAAATACCCTTTACCTTCTTCCATTTTGGCGTTAGAAATGAGCATCTGTCTCAAGTGCTTGAGGAGGCCAGCCCAAGTAAATGTGCTGTATGCCAGAGAGTTCTCAGACATTTGAGGAATGTTACGAATACCCAGCATCTTGAATTCTGGATGGGGAACTAAGCTCTCCATCAAGTCTCCTGTAAAGGGAGGGAAAAAGTGAACTAAAATTTACTTTACTCCACATGTATGCCATTGGTCTATTATACACAATCAGGATTTGATTTTCTTTCAAAATCTGGGTCAAATGTGTTTTCTCCAAGGCCAAAATTGCTTAGCATTAAAATAATATAATGTCAGAGATAATGTTTATTATAAGTACATGCTGCTTCATTTTAGCACAAGTAAAAAAACACACTTGTGCCTAAAAGGAAATTAGAATTTAGAAGCTGAGTAACTAGAAATGTGAATGAATACTTAGCTAAACTCCAGGAAAACAAAGACAGCACAAGAGCTAATATCCTTTTGTCATTCTATATTCATTAAATCTTCCTTTAACAATTTCTGTAGACCTTTTACTTATGTAATCTGATTAAATCATAATCAAAACCTGCTGGAGGCTGGGATGGAACTCAGTGATCAAACCATTACCACTACCACTACCACCACCACCACCACTAACAAAAAAGAGCCGGGCAAGGTGACACATGCCTGTGGTCCCAGCTTCTTCCGAGGCTGAGACCAGAGAATCTTATAAGCCCAAGAATTTGAGGCCAGCCTAAGAAACACAGAAATAAATCTTTAGGAACTGTTTGTTGACACTTCCTTTCACCTAAGACTGCATGTTATAAGGTTTTCTCCTTTCTCTTCCTTCTTTCCCGCTCCCTCCTTCCATCTCTTCGTTTTCTTTTTAATTTTTTTTTTGGGGGGGGATTGAACTCTGGGCCTGGGCGCTATCCCTGTGCTATTCAAAAAGTAAGCACTCTACCACTTGAACCACAGTACCACTTCTGGTTTTCCGGTGGTTTATTGGAGAGAAGAGTCTCACAGACTTTCCCACCTGGGATGCCTTTGAACTAGGATCCACAGATCTCAGCCTCCTGAGTGGCTAGGATTACAGACATGAGCCACAGCGCCTGGCCTTTCTTTTAATTTTTGAGACAGGATTTCTTTATGGGCCCAATCTAGCATCAAATTCACAATCCTCCTATTCATTCTCTAAGATACTGGGATTACAGGCATGTGTCACTATAGTCAATTTACTCTCTCTCCCTCTCTCTCATTCTCTGTTTTCTGCAAACCATCCTCCCACGCCACCCCTCCCCCCAATCCCTTCAGTGCTGGTGATCCAACATGCTAGGCAAGCAGTCTACTATGGGGGTTCCATCCCAGGCTTGATTTTTAGCAGCAGCAGCTGCCACCATAAGGTGCTTGCCCAGCATGTGTGAGATCCTGGGTTTGATCTTAGGCACTACAGGAGGAGTTGGGGTGGGGGAGGGGAAGAGGAAGTACTACTGGCCAGCCACTTGCCCCAGTCAGCAATTTCTTTAAGACTTTTCAGTTAGATAGTTCAGAGATACAAAGAGGTCTGAAGAAAGGTTTTTGAGGTGAAGGAGAACTGAGTATGTTTTCAGGCAGAAGGAAAGAAACAGTAAAGAATAACTTTGAGGCTTTCAGGACATCAGATTTGCCTACACATAACCCTCAGGGGACAACTACCTAGTGGATTTCTTCTGTAGTGAGGCGAGCCTTCTGTAGCATAAGTGGGCTGGAACACAGCGCCCAGCTGATGTGCAAGGACTTGATTTATATTGCTGAAGGAGATCTGCTTGATATTCATTAGCTTTGCACAGATTTTATGGACAGCATCATTCTCATGAACGAGGAGGGCATCTGAAGATCGGTACAAGTGAGAGAGGGTCAAAACGGAGTTGTAGTTCTGAACAATGACCTGGACAGAAAAATGCCAATGAGAAGAAAGGCAAGAGAGAAAAGTGGCTGAGATTCTCCCGATAGCATATTCAGATTCATTCCTGGCTGTTAATTCTAGCTGCTGCTTGCGAGGCAAGTGCCCTTGCATCCTGCCTGTATCCTTGGGGATACCAGTTACATTAGTCTCTTAGAATTACAAAGATGAACAATATAATACAAGTATCATAGCACAAGCACTTAGTATGGTAACTCATATGCAATAAGGACTTTCCTACCCAGGCTGGCTTTGAACTGTGATCCTCAGATCTCAGCCTCCTCAGGAGCTAGTATTACAGGCATGAGTTGCCAGCACCCAGTTTAAAAACCATTTAAAGGCTGGACATTGAGACAGAAGGACTAACTCACAAATGTATTCTTAGAGAATAAGCATAATCATGTTTGGGATTTTTATTTTAGTTTTGGTGCTAGAGATTGAGACTTGGGCCTTGTACATTCTAATAAGCACATGCTCTACCAAGGAAGTATGTTCCCAGCCATCATCTATGGAATTTGAAAAAACAGAATATTTTACTCAAATGTGGTGGTCCACATCTGTAATCCCAGCATTTAGGAAGCTAAGGAAGGAGCATTTGAGTTTATGGTTACCCTAGACTATATAGTAAGACTGTATGCTAATACAAACAGATTTTTAAAAAGCATAAGCAAAGTAAAAATGACTTAAAAACAAGGACACCTCATATGTTTGGAAAAATTTAAGCCTGATATCATCTTATGTTGTATAATTACTCCTGAAACTATGACAACATTTCCAAAAAAAGAAGGAGATTCACTTTTACTTATATTCATCTCAACTGCAAAGAATAGAAAACATAACATTTCCAATTAATAAATTCTTACCTCACCAGTTTCATAAGGCCATATAATCTGATTCATTTTCAAAGAGTGTGGGTACTGATCTTGAAAATTCTGTGTAAGGAAGGCTCCCAGCCCTGATCCTGTGCCCCCAGCCATACTCATGATGACGAAAAAGCCACTCAAAGAGTCACACTTCTCTACTTCCTTCTGGATTAAGTCCATTATAGATTCTCTATGCCTGGGTCCATGGACAGAGTAACTGTGCAACACCAAAAGAATACACACAAACACCTTTCAGTTTCACCAGAGAGATACAATGCACAGGAAAAAGTCTGGATTTTTTCTTTTTGGTAGGTTGTAGGGTTTGAACTCTGGACCTGGGCGCTGTCCCTGAGCTCTTAAGCTCAAGGCCAATGCTCTACCCCTTAAGCCATAGCACCACTTCTGGCTTTTACTGTTTATGTGGTGCTGAGGAGTGGAACCCAGAGCCTCATGCATGCGAGACAAGCACTCTACCACTGAGCCACCTTCCCAGCCCCTAAACTAGCTTTTATAGTAGGTATAGATGTACTGACTTAGCAAATTTTAAAATATATAAGTTAAATATATTTAATGTAAATAGATCTATTAGAAAAGTAAATCCTGGAGTGGTGCTGTAGCTCAAGAGGTAGAGCACTAGCCTTGAGCTGAAGAGCTGAGGGACAGTGCTCAGGCCCAGAATTCAGGCCCCACGACTGACAAAAAAATAAAAAACAAAAAGAAAAGAAAAGAAAAGTAAATCCTGGGCTGGGAAAGTGTCTCAGTAGTAGAGTGCTTGCCTTGCGTGCGTGAGGCCCTGGGTTCAATTCCTCAGCACCACATAAGCAGAAAAAGCCAGAAGTGGCACTATGGCTCAAGTGGTAGAGCGCTCGCTTTGAGCTTAAGAGCTGAGGGACAGTGCCCAGGCCCAGAGTTCAAACCCCATGACCTGGGCTGGGAAGGTGGCTCAGTGGTAGAGCGCTTGCCTTGCATGCCTGAGGCCCTGGGTTCGATTCCTCAGCACCTCATAAGCAAAAAGAAAAAAACCAGTAGTGGCGCTTCTGCTCAAGTGGTAGAGGGCTAGCCTTGAGCTGAAGAGCTGAGGGACAGTGCCCAGGCCCAGAGCTCAGGCCCCATGACCTACCAAAAAGAAAAGAAAAATCCTATTTCAGGCTGAGTGCCAGTGGTTAACACCTGTAATCCTAGCTACTTAGGTGGCTGGGATCTGAGAATCATGGTTCAAAGCCAGCCAGAGCATGAAGATCTATGAGACACTTTTTTTTTGGGGGGGGGTCCAGTTGGGGGGGTCTGAATTCTGGCCATGGAAGCTGTCCCTCAGCTCTTCAGCTAAAGGCTAGCACTCTACGATTTAAGCCACAGCACCACTTCCGGCTTTTTTCTGCTTATGTGGTGCTAAGAAATTGAACCCAGGGCCTCATGCATGCAAGGTAAGCACTCTACCACTGAGCCACCTTCCCAGCCCTGTGAGACTCTTATTTCTAATTAACTACCAGAAAACTGGAAATGGTGCTGTGGCTCAAAATGATGAACACTAGCCTTGATCAAAAAAGCTCAGGGTCAGGGTCCAGGCCTTGAGTTCAAGCCCCATGACCACCACCACCACCACCACCACCAACAACAACAAAAGAGGTCCTATTTTAAAAAAAAGCAATTAAGAGCAGGGAACTGGTGGTTCTTGGCTGTAATCCTACTTACTTAGGAGGCTAAGATCTGAGGGTCAAGGTTTGAAGCCAGCCCAGGCAGAAAAGTCTGAGACTCTTATCTCCAATTAACCACAAAGAGCTAGAAGTGGAGCTATGGCTTAAGTGGAGCACTAGCCATGAGCAGAAAAGCTCAGGGATAGCGCCCAGGCCCTGAGGTCAAGCCCCAGGTCTGGCAGGTGCGCACATGCACACAAAACAAAGTAAAATCTCTAGAAGGGAGCCTAGAATATTACTGTTGTTGTTGTTGTTTGAGACAGTGTTTTACTATGTGATTCAGGCTGGCCTTAGACTCAGGATTCTCTTACCTTGGCCTCCCTTACGTGAAAATTATAGGACAGCAGCTCTAGGAAATCCTAGGATGGAAACAACCGCCTAAAAGAATATGTGGCAGATAATGATATTATGCTGATAAATTAGTTTCAAACACACAGCGAAGAAGATGACAAATCCTGCTGCCAGGGATCATTGTTCTTCATTAGCTCATATTTGAGACACAGTCAGAGATTAGAGTTTCTTCTCCTCTTCTTCCTCTTCCTTCTTCTCCTCTTCCTTCTCCTCCTCTTCTTCCTCTTCTTCTTCTTCCTCCTCTTCTTCTTCCTCTTCCTCTTATTCTTCCCAAGGCCTAGGCACTGTCCCTGAGCTTCGTTTGCTCAAGGCTAGCACTCTACCACTAAGCCACATTCCTAGCCCCTAAATCCTAAATCCTAAATTTTATTTTATTTTATTTTATTTTATTTATTTTTTTGGTCTGGTCATGGGGCCTGAACTCTGGGCCTGGACACTGTCCCTCAGCTCTTCAACTCAAGGCTAGCGCTCTACCACTTGAGCCACAGCGCCACTTCCAGCTTTTTTTCTTTTTTTGCTTATGTGGTGCTGAGGCATCGAACCCAGGGCCTCATGCATGCAAGGCAAGCGCTCTACCACTGAGCCACCTTCCCAGCCCCTAAATCCTATATTTTAAAATAGCTCAAAGTATCAACTTATACAGTTAAAATTACTTTGTCTACTGACTATGCAGTTGTTGCTAAAACTGAAAACCATGAAGAATTATTCTTACCCGTAGGCCCAGTTGTTTCCAGAACCTTGTTTTTGATAGAAGCATGAATGCTGGCCATACTTCCATTGGCCAGACTGGGCAGCCTTGGCTAGTGTCTGATTGATAACTTTAGGTTCCATGTCAACAAGCACAGCCCGGGCAATTGGAACTGAAAAAGGAAAACAAAAAGTCTTTTGTTATATCTGGGTTACACAGAGCAAAGTTCTAGGTCATTGAGCTGTTATCTCCAGCCTTAAGGTCCAGAAAGTAAGCCTCAGGAATTGGGGACAAAAAGATCAGTCAGGGCTGTGAATGTGACTTAAGAGTGTTTGCCTAGCATGCATGAAGCCCTAGGTTCAATTCCTCAGTACCACAAAAACAGAAAAAGCTGGAAGTGGTACTGTGGCTCAAGTAGTAGAGCACTATTCTTGAGCATAGAGAGGTTCAGGGGCAGCATCCAGGCCCTGAGTTTGAGCCCCACAACCGAAATAAAATAAAATAAAATAAAATGGCCACATGGGTTGGGTGTGCCAACATCACTTGGATGTTTACAATGTGCCATGCACTATGCTGGACATATAGAGATGAAAATGGTCACAAGCCAGCCATAGAAGGACTCTAAGGAGAGATAAAAGATATTAGCACTAGCCGGGCACCAGTGGCTCACGCCTGTAATCCTGGCTACTCAGGAGGCTGAGATCTGAGGATCACGGTTCAAAGCCAGCCCAGGCAGGAAAGTCAGTGAGACTCTTATCTCCAATAAACCACTAGAAAACCAGAAGTGGCGCTGTGGCTTAAGTGGTAGAGTGCTAGCCTTGAGCTGAAGAGTACAGGGAAAGTGCCCAAGCCCAGAGTTCAAGCCCCACAACCGACCAAAAAAAAAAAAAAGATATTAGCACTAATCACAGTGCAGCATGACTGAAAATGAATCTATACCAAACGAACAGCATAATTAGAGGTACAAACTATAATGATCATAATGCTCAGCTCACAGTTGTTGCCACAGAAGTTAGTGAAGAAGTGACAGACAGGGGTAGAAAGCAAACAAGACTCAGATCCTAGAAATCCTTGAAGGCAATGCTAAAAAAAAAAAACCAACCCAAACTGGGAACTTTATCATTGAGGCAAATGACATACTAGCAGAAAAATCTCAAGCAGCCATGGTTCAAAGTAGTAGAATGTTATCCTTGAGCAAAAAAGCTCAGAGACAGTGCCCAGGCCCCAAATTTAAGCCCCACACCAACCAAAAAAGAAAAAAAAACACAAATAAATACAATTTAAAAGTGCCAGGCTCATCCTAGTTATTCAGGAGGCTGAGATCTAAGGATAATGGTTTGAAGCTAGACCAAACTGAAAAATCCCTGTGAGATTTTTTTTTTTTTTTTGGTTAGTCATGGGGCCTGAACTCTGGGCCTGAGCGCTGTCCCTGAGCTCTTCAGCTCAAGGCTAGCACTCTACCACTTGAGCCACAGCCCCACTATACTCAGCCAGGGTGCAAGCTTTAAAGGCAAGATAATGAATACTTTGGTTGTGGACATATTGTGTGCACTGATCAATCTACACCCTGGAAGAAAGGCTGAGCTATATAAGTCCAGAAGTCACTGGTATAAAAACCTAGCAATTTTTTTTTTGGTGGTCCGGTCGTGGTACCACTTCCGGCTTTTTTATTTTTGCTTATGTGGTACTAAGGAATCGAACCCAGGGCCTCATGCATGCAAGGCCAGCGCTCTACCACTGAACCACCTTCCCAGCCCAAAATCTAGCAAATTTTTAATGACTATAGTTATCTAGAAAGAACTACTTGTATGAGGAAAAGGAGAGCCTGAGATACAATATAGTGGAGAAGAAAAGTTCAGAGGCTAAGGATAAGGAATTTCAAAGTAGCGAAGAAAAGCAGAGTAATTAGAAGGCCAACTGGAAACTTAAAGTAGCTTCAGTGTCATTGTTGGGGGCAGAATAGTCCAGGTTCTCCTTTGAGATCCTGTTTGAAAGGCAAAGACAACTCTTCCTTGCTGGTTTAAGTTGATGAGATCTAACTATGCTCACATACTAGAATGGAGTAAGTGTATGTACCTAGAGAACCCTAACTTGTTAAACATAGAAATAAAAGTATGTAAGGAATATGGATGAGAGCCTAATGGCAGAGCATTTGCTAGGCCTATGTGAGGCCCTGGGTTTAATGGAACAGCCTGAAAAGAAAAGGATCAAAGGGCCAAGAACAAGCTCATTCCCTAGTGCCGTAGGAAGGGATGAGCTTCAGATACCTGTAGAGGGCCAGACTTTGAAGAGGTTTATGTCAGAGTAAAGGAGACACTGTGGACCACACATACCTCCATTTTCCTCTTCCCTGAAGAATCTTTCTTTGCAAGATGCTTGGTATGTTTCATTCTCTCTCTTAGAGCAGAGTGCCTGGGAACAGTGTGAATCACTAAATAAAGTATCAAACACTTCAAAACCAATCTGGTTGCCACACTGACCAAGTTGCACTGTTACTATTGACATGCTGGGCCACAAACCACGCCTATTCCCTCAAAAAAGGTCAGCAACCTGAAACAGAAAAAAAAAATACAGATTTAAGAATTACTATAGTAGAGCACTGGTAGCTCACACCTGTAATCCTTGCTACTTAGGAGGCAGGGATCTGAGGATTGAGGTTCTAAGCCAGCCTAGGCATGCAAAGTTTGTGAGACTATATCTCCAATTAACCACCAAAATGCCAGAGTTGAGCTATGGCTTAAGTAGTAGAGCACAAACCTTGAGCACTAAAAAGCTCAGAGACAGTGTCCAGGCCCTGCTTTCAAGCAACACACACACACACACACACATACACACAAAGAATCACTATATTATGAATAAGAACAAATAGTTGGGTGCTGGTGGCTGTGGCTCATACCTGTAATCCAAGCTACTCAGAAGGCTAAGATATGAGGATCACGGTTCAAAACCAGCTGGGGCAAGAAAGTCCATGAAAGTCTCATGGACTTTCTTCAATTAGGCACCAACAAACAGCTGCAGTAGAACGGGGTGATTCTAGTGGTAAAGTGCTAGTCTTGAGCAAAAGAAGCTCAGAGACAGTGCCCAGGCCCAGAGTTCAAGCCCTCTGACCTGCAAACAAAACAAAACAAAAAAAGAATATGTCATGTATCAATTATACATCAATAACAAGATGGAATTTAATGTTGCAAATTAAATAGCTATGATGTTTAAAGTTCTCAACTCTATTTTGCTTTGAGATTTTCTGTACTCTAATCTATTCATACACAGCTCAGTGTTTTTTGGTTTTTGTTTTGCCAGTCCTGGGGCTTGACTTCAGGGCCTGGGCACTGTCCCTGAGCTTGTTTTGCTCAAGGCTAGCACTCTACCACTTGAGCCATAGTGCCACTTCCAGCTTTTTTTTTTTTTGGGTCCGATTGTGGGGCCTGAACTCTAGGCCTGGGCGCTGTCCCTCAGCTCTTCAGCTCAAGGCTAGTGCTCTACCATTTGAGCCACAGCGCCACTTCCAGCTTTTTTCTTTTTGGTTATATGGTACTGAGGAATCGAACCCAGGGCCTCAGGCATGCAAGGCAAGCACTCTACCACTGAGCTACCTTCCCAGCCCCTACTTCCAGCTTTTTCTGTTTATGTGGTACTGAGGAATTGAACCCAGGGCCTCATGCATGCTAGGCAAGCACTCTATCACTAAGCCATATTCCCAGGCCAGCTCATTGTTTTTCAAAACTCTGATCTGAACTCACTGATTTTCTAAATATGAAAATAAAAGATGCTGGCTGAAGGAATTAGTGTACACATTTCACACAAATAATTAGCTTAAAGGAGCTGGGAAGATGGCTCAGTGATAGAGTGCTTGCCTAGCATGCATGAGGCCCTGGGTTTAATTTCTCAGCACCCGTAAGCAGAAAAAGTCAGAAGTGATGCTTGTGGCTCAAGTGGTAAAGTCCCAGCCTTGAGCTGAAGAGCTGAGGGAGAGGGACAGCGCCTAGGGCCAGAGTTCAAGCCCCATGACTCACAAAAGCAAGAAAGCAAGCAAGCAAGAAGTGGGGCACTGGTGGCTCACGCCTGTAATCCTAGCTACTCAGGAGGCTGAGATCTGAGAATTGCGGTTAAAAGCCAGCCTAGGCAGGAAAGACCGTGAAACTCTTATCTCCAATAAACCACCAGAAAACTGGAAGTGGCACAGTAGCTCAAGTGGTAGAGCGCTCGCCTTGAGCTGAAGAGCTGAGGGACAGCGCTCAGGCCCAGAGTTCAAGCCCCATGACGGACCCCCCCCCCAAAAAAAAAAAAAGCAAGAAATTAGCTCAACAACTTTAAGGTTAACAATATTTTTATGTTCTAAATAATGACTTTTTTTCTTTCCACCAATCACATTTCTGACCTGGTAACTATAAGATTAATAAGAAGGGCTTATGCCTGTGCCTGTGGCTCACACCTGTAATCCTAGCTATTCAAGAGGCTGAGATATGAGGATCTAGGTTTGAAGCCAGCCTGGGAAGAAAGTCCTTGTGAGACTCTTTCTCTAGTTAACCATTCAAAAATCAGAAGTGGTATTGTGGCTCAAGTGGTAGAGTGCTAGCTTTGAGCACAAAGAGACTCAAGGACAGCACTTAGGCCCTGAGTTCAAGCCACAACCAACCCCCCCCCCCCAATTTATTTATTTATTTATTGCCAGTCCTGGGACTTGAGCTCAGGGTCTGGGTACTGTCCCTGAACTTCTTTTGATCAAGGCTAGCACTCTATTACTTGAGCCAGAGACTCTTCCTGTTTCTGTTTCTGTGGTACTGAGGAATCGAGCCCAGGGCTTCATGTATGCTAGGCAAACACTCTACCACTTAGCCACAGTCGCAGTCCTCCCTACCCAAGTAATAATAAAAAGGACTCATTTAGTTCAGTTAATACAGCAATGATTGAGCTATAAGACTAAAGTAGATGCAGGTGGGTGGGGGGGCTGGGGTAGGGTACTGGGGCTTGAACTCAAGGCTAGGGTGGTGTCCCAGAGCTCTTTTGCTTAAGGCTACTGTTCTATTTCCAGTTTTTTTTTTTTTGGTGGCTAATTGGAGATAACAGCCTTATGTACGTTCCTGCCTGGACTGGCTTAGAACAGTGATTGTAGGATTACAGGCATAAACCGCAGGCACTGGGTCTGATCTTATTTGTTTATTTTTGTCGGTTGTGGCCTGTGCACTGTCCTCAGCTCTTCAGTTCAAGACTAGCACTTTACCACTGGAGCCACAGTGCCACTTCCAGCTTTTTCTGCTTCTATGGTGCTGAGGAATCGAACCGAGGGCCTCATGCATGCAAGACAAGCACTCTACCATTGAGCTACCATCCCAGGCCCCAATCTTTACTATTTTTAACAAAGAAATTAGTAGGCTGGGCACCAGTGGCTCAGGAGGCTGAGATCTAGAAGTTCATAGTTGAAAACTATGCTAGGGCAGAGAAGTCCTAGAGGATCCATCTCCAATGAATTAGCAAAATCCTGGATTGGAGGTATGGCTCATGGCTCAAGTGATAGAACACCAGCTGTGAGTAAAAATAACCCTAGAGAAGGCTTAAGGTGGAGTTCAAATCCCCAATACTGGCACGCCCTCCCTCAAAGCAAAAACAAACAAACAAACAATAAATCCCCACAACAAACAACCCCCCATACAAAATCCCAAACCCAAACCCTCCACACCAGGTTTATGGAGCACTGGCTTCTGAGCTAGCTGGTTTTCTTAAAATTTCGAACTTGACAAAGTAGGGTTTGAAATTTTAGCCAAGGAGATTGAGAAAAGATTACCTGAGTTTCCCAAGGCTACTGAACCAGTAAATTGAATAGCCAAAGACTTTCCCCTTCTCCCACCAGCCCTAGGAGCCCACCATCAGCCCCACTCACTAACAGCCCTCGGCCCGCGGTTTCGATCGCGTTCAAACTTTAGAAGACCAACCCTCCCATATGCGCATGCTTACTTTCAACCCTCAGAAGCTACCAAGAACGAGTGCGCATGTTCCTTAAACAGCTTTGCGGTGGCTGCACCACCACCCCTCCCGCCCCTTATTCAAGAAGGTAAATTACGCATGTTCCATTTCACTTTATCAACTTCAGATAAGGTACGCATGCTCACTGTCCATCACACCCTTTAGTGACAATGCGCATGCTCTGACTTCCAGACGTGCTTCGGCCGCTTTTCTGCGCATGATCCTGCCAGTACTTGGACCCTGGAGAGAGCGTCGCGCATGTCCATTGCCCAGAGTTTGGCTTCACGGAACCCTGTACGCATGCTCCGGTCCTGAACTTGCAGAGCCAGTTGGGGCCTAGGCGCAGACGCACTGAGCCTAAGCAGCCGGTGATGGCGGCAGTGGTGGTGGTGGCTGCAGCGGGGCCGGGCCCATGAGGCGACGACGGAGGCGGGACGGCTTTTACACAGCGCCTGACTTCCGAGACAGGGAAGCTGAAGACATGGCTGGAGTGTTTGACATAGACCTGGACCAGCCAGAGGACGCAGGCTCTGAGGATGAGCTGGAGGAGGGGGTGAGGCCCGGGGTCCAGGGGTGGGTGGGAGGCCAGGTGACAGGGCCGGGGCGGCGGCGCGGGCCCGGAAGCCCGGTGTGTCCCGGGGCGCCGAGACCCTCGCGGAGGATCCGAGCCGCCCGCCGCGCGGCGGAGCCGGAGAGCGGGCGGGGCGGGCCTGGCCCTAGGTGAGAGGCCTCTGCGGGGCTCGCAGGTGCTGGTAAGCGCCCTTATCCTCAGATCGGCGCAGCCCGGAGCAATCTGAGCTGTGTGTGTGTGTGTGTGTGTGTGTGTGGAGGAGGCTGGGCGCGTGGTCGACTCCTAGAGCGAGCTCTCGGACTTGAATGTGGCGGGGCGCAGGTGGAGTGTGGTTGGGGAGCAGTGGCAGGTGGGGAGGGGGTGGGGATCTGAGCTTGCTGGGTGTCCCCAAAGTGCAGGTGAAAGGCGGAAGGGTTTCCCTCGGAGTGTTAAGATTGCAAGTCTGAAATCATCGGACCTCCCGCAACCACCTCTCTTTCTCGGCCTGGCGCTTCTCTCCTAGGAAGCGCTCAGCTGTTAGAAGTGACAGCTGAAAACTTCTGTCGGGAGTAGCACACCAGGAGTTTTATTTCGGGAGCAAGGGGGCTCTGCTACGTCTTCCAGGGTTGGTTTGTTCGCCTTTTTTTTTTTAACCCCCCTTCCGTGTGACATACATAGACACACACGTATGCATATGTATAACGACTTACAGCATTTGTAGCTTAATTTTCCCCTATGATGAAGATGTCCCTATTTTTCCAGCATATTTTATATGATTTTTGAGGTGGAGGAGAAATGTTGGCAACGGTGGCGAGGCTTGCCAAAAATAAATTGCTTGAGCTGAGACTTGTGAATAATGTGTGTGAGGTCTTCTCTAACAGTAATTTAGAGGGCTAAATTTAGAATCATTTTTCCTAATGCACATACTGTCTTTTAACTTAGATGTCTTTAGTACTTTGTTAATTTTAGGGAGTATCTTTTTTTTTTCTAAGACAAATGTATTAAAAAAAATAACAAATTGCACCTGAAGTTCTAAACCTATGTCAAAGCACTGACTTTGGACAGATGACTATCAGTGATAATCTCCTGGTGATTAGATCCTAAGTTCCATTACATTTATGAGTACATGAAATTATGACTGATGTCAGATGTTTTCTATAACTGCATAGGGTGGCTTCCTTTCTCACCTCCAGTTTTCTTCCTTTGACAAGTAAATTCTGCCCAAAATATTGAGACAATGTGTATAATGAACTTTGAACACTATGAAATTAAATGAGATAAAATAGTGTTTTTTCATAATCAAATGAATCTGCCAAAATTACAAAGTTTAGAAGGTAGATATTGAGATAAATGCTTTTTAAACTGATACATTTTTGTCTCAAGTCTAATTTCTTTTTTTTTTTTTGGGTCCGGTCATGGGGCCTGAACTCTGGGCCTGGGCGCTGTCCCTCAGCTCTTCAGCTCAAGGCTAGCGCTCTACCACTTGAGCCACAGTGCCACTTCTGGCTTTTCTCTTTTTGCTTATGTGGTGCTGAGGAATCGAACCCAGGGCCTCTGGCATGCAAGGCATGCACTCTACAACTGAGCCACCTTCCCAGCCCCTCAAGTCTAATTTCTTAATTGAACATAAAGAACACTAAAAATTTGAAACAAATATAGGATTGCTTTTATTTTATGTACCAAACTCTGATTGATTCCATATGGCAGTGGCTCTCTTGAGTAGTCATGGGGGAAAACTGGATAGGAAGAATGCTTTATAATTCATTAGCTGAACTGATAGAATTTTCAAGTTAGATGTTTATCCTCTTTTGAAAGTAGAGTATGTGTTGAAATTCATTCCTCTTTTGAGCTGAGACCTATTTTTCTTTTTATTCTTTTGATGTGTTTCAGGAACAATAGTGTTTCAGTTTTGGTCTGCTCTTTTTTTTTGTGCCATTCCTGGGGCTTGAACTCAAGGTCTGTACTATCTGTGTACAGTCCTGTGTACTGTCCCTGAGCTTTTTCCACTCAAGGCTAGCACTTGACCACTTGAGTTACAGTTCCATTTCCAGCTTTTTGTTGGCTAATTCAAGGTAAGAGTCTCATGACTTCCTTGCCTGGGCTGGTTTGGAACTTCGATCTTCAAATCTCAGCCTCCTGAATAGGATTACAGGCATGAAACACTTGTGCCTGTCTTGTTTTTGTGTGTGTGTTTTCTGGGTAAAGCAAATAGGATTTTGAGAGTGTGTGGAGAAGGGAATCAGAAAAAATAGAAAAGAGAAATGTGACTACTCTTTTACAGAGAGGAACTTGGTAAGGAGAAAGAGTAGAGGTAATTATAGAGAATCTTGAGAAAAGTCTTTAGCATTACATGTTTTTACATGGCAGTACCTTTGGGAATGGAAATGTTTCTTCTGAGTGCTTTAAGAGGACAAGGGAGGGGCTGGGAAGGTGGCTCAGTGGTAGAGCACTTGCCTTGCATGCCTGAGGCCCTGGGTTCGATTCCTTAGCACCACATAAGCAAAAAGAAAAAAAGCCAGAAGTGGCGCTGTGGCTCAGGTGGTAGAGCGCTATCCTTGACCTGAAGAGCTGAGGGATAGCCCCCAGGCCCAGAGTTCAGGCCCCACAACAGGACCCCCCCCAAAAAAAAAAATTAAGAGGACAAGGGAAAAGAGTTCTAATAGGATTTGCTTAGTAACCCAAGGGCATTCTGTGACATCCAGGATTACACTGAAATTAAAAAAAAAATTCTTAGTTTGAAATATAGGAATAATTTAGATTCTTAGAATATCTGCCAACATTTCCTCATATGAACTTGTGTAAACCAAAGAAAACAACAACATTGCTACATATAAGACTAACCTCCCAAACCAGGCCCATGTGGCTCATGCCTGTAATTCTAGCTACTCAGAAGGTTGAGATCTGAGGATTGCAGTTGAAAGCCAGCCTAGGCAGGAGAGTCTGTGAGACTCTTATCTCCAATTAGCCACTAGAAAACTGGAAGTGGTGCTGTGGCTTAAGTGGTAGAGTCCTAGCCTTGAGCTGAAGAGCTGACAGATAGCTCCCAGGCCCAGAGTTCAAGCCCTGTAACTGAGCGGGGTGGGGGAAGACTACCCTTCTTTCTTCATTGTACAAGAAAAATGAAGCATAGGCTAGAGAGATGGTAGCTCACAATTGCAGGGTGGTAATGTCCTCAGATTAGAGTGCAGTTTTTATCTATCAACACTCCCTCGGTACTGGGATTGAACCTGAGGCCTTGTGCATGGTAGGTAAGCCCTCTATCTCTGAACTTCATCTCCAACTTTTTCCTTTTGGGGGTGGGTGGGTGGGGGAGTATGTGCAGGATTGCTCCATGTACTCCAAACTAGCCTCCAATTTATGATCCTCCTGCCTCCACCTTGCAAGTGCTGGTCTTACAGGTATTAGCCACTTTGTCCAGCTTGCAGATTATTGGTAGAATTTATTAGTCTTACTAATATTGTGTCTTTCTGGGGTATGTCAAAAGTGAATTCCCTTTTCAATGAGAGTTAAACCAGACACCAGTGGCTTATGCCTGTATTTCTGTCAACTCCGGAGGCTGAGATTTGAGGTTGAAGTTCAAAGACAGTCCCATCAAGAAAGTCCAATTAGAGCTGGGAAGGTGGCTCAGTGGTAGAGTGCTTGCCTTGTATGCCTGAGGCCCTGGGTTCGGTTCCTCAGCACCACATAAGCAAAAAGAAAAAAGCTGGAAGTGGTGCTGTGGCTCAAGTGGTAGAGCGCTAGCCTTGAGCTGAAGAGCTGAGGGACAGTGCCCAGGCCCAGAGTTCAGGCCCCATGACCAGCAAAAAAAAAAAAAAAGAAAGTCCAATTAACCAGCAAAAAAAAGTAGAGCTGTGGCTCAAGTAGTAGAGTACCAGCCTTAAGAATAAAGTTACATGACAATGCCCTGGCCCTGCATTCAAGCCCCTACAAAAAAACCAAAAACACTTTTCAGTGCTGGACATTGAACCCAGTGCATCACACCCATGCTAGCGAAGTGCTAGACTTGGATAATTGACTTCTAGGGGAATATGGGGATAAGATCTCTCTTGTAGTCAGCTTGTCCTGGAACTCAGGCTAGTACTCAATTTTTCCTGCCTTAGCTGCCTGCATGTGAGATTATAATTATGTCACCATATCTGGTTTGAGTAATTGATTTAATGAATATCTGGATTAAGGATAATGCCACCCTTTGTGAGTCAGTTTATTTACTTTTTTGTGAAGTTTAAAACTAAGCCTATCAGGGACTTTCCTGTCTGGGTTGGCTTCAAACCTCAGTCCTCAGATCTCAACCTCTGGAGTAGTTAGAATTACAGGCATGAGCCACCAGAGACTGGTTTATGTATTTTTAAAACATTTCAAACCACCATTCTGTTGGGCTACTTTGAAACAGTGTATCTCATATAGTATCTTAGATGAGCAAGATTGTCATAGTAGCACACAGAAAGGGAATTGGATGAATCATATAGCAGCAGACAAAAAAATCTGAATAAAGAACTTCCTGTGAAAGAATGTCAGTATGTATTATACAACGTTAGCTAGCAGACAAGAATTGTACCTCAAATACTTGTGCTCTCGAAGGTAACGGTAGGAAGTTAAAAGCACAGATGGAGGTGGTGTTACCGGCCTGGCCAGCTCCGGAAATGAAACATAGCCACAGGGCATATCTTGGGAGGTAGCTTCAAAGCCATGGTTCACTGTTAACTCCTATATGTCTTTAATTTAGAATTAAGTAAAACTAACATTAAAGGAAAAACAATTATGTAATGTCAGTGTTATCACATCTGAAAAAGTTGGACTTTTGTTTTTAAGGCATCATCGATGATGATGGAGCAACAGAGACCCAAGACAACCATAATCATCCCTACTTCCCCCTGCCAAAACTGGCCATTGAAACCAATAATTACTTTTTCCTCTTAATAATGACCTATCCATTAACCTCAGTCTCATTATGAAACATAAATCCTGTGGCTATAATACATCATAATACATCATCATGACCTGTTCATGCTGAGCAAGTTATGACTAGGCAGTTTTTGTTTTTTAGGCATTTGAACATTTATTCTATAAAAATATTACTTGAAGATTTCTATCTTTTTAGAGTTTATTCTCAATTTTTTTGTTTAAACTGAAAGGATTCATAATCAGACTATATGCAAGGCTACTCATTTTAAGGGCTGGAGACCGTGGTTCAGTTGGTAAAATGCTAGCCAATGAATGAAAGTAGCAGGTACCAAGTTTGAGTCCAGCTCTTGGGCCTTAAAAAAAAGACTACTCATTTTAAAGCTGTACTTTATATCAGGAACTGAATTTCTGTTGCCAAAATTTTGTTCTTTTGCTTTTATAATTATATGTGACTTAGAGCATATTTACAGAATTGTATAGCTCATCACAATTAAGTTTTTAGAATATGTGCATCACCCTAAAGAGACTCCTTTAGATTTTTTTGTTTTTATTTTTGTCAATCCTGGAGCTTGGGCCTGGAGCTCTTCAGCACAAGGTGAGTGCTCTACCATTTGAGCCACAGCACCACTTCTGGTTTTCTGGTGGTTAATTGGAGGTAAGAGTCTCACAGACTTTCCTGCCCAGACTGGCTTTGATCCGTGATCCTCAGATCTCAGGCTCCTGAGTAGCTAGGATTACAGGCGTGAGCCACCAGCATCCGGCTATTCTTTTATTTTTTTTTTGCTGGTCATGGGGCCTGAACTCTGGGCCTGGGCACTGTCCCTCAGCTCTTCGGCTTAAGGCTAGCACTCTACCACTTGAGCCACAGCAGCACTTAGAGCTTTTTCTACTTATGTGGTGCTGAGGAATGGAACCCAGGGCCTCATGCATGTTCCCATGTTCTCAGCCCTCTTTTTTTTTTTTTTTTAAATGAGTACTAACTTGAAGTAGTTGTACAAATACAGTTATTCTTTATTCTTACCCCTATCTCTAGGTAACTGGATAATCTACTTGTCATCTTCATAGATTGGGATTTTCCAAACATTACATACAAATAGAACCACACAGTATATAATTTCTGTCTGGTTTCTTTCACTTGACATAATGATTTTGAGGATCATCTTGTATTGTTGCTGTATTTTGTGTTTTTGCTGATACTGGAGTTTGAGCTCTGGTCCTTATACTTGCTAGGCTTGCTTGCTTGCCTGGTGTTCTACCACTTGAGCTACATCTCCGACCTTGTTTTATTGCTCGTTATTTTGGAGGTGGAATCTCACACGCTTTTCTGCCGAGGCTAACTTTGATCCATGCTCCTGAGTAGTTAGGATTATAGGTGTGAGCTACCAGCACCCCTCCTGGGATCACCTATACTGTAACATTAGCACTTCCGTTCTTTTTTTTTAATAGCCAAATAATATTCTATGAATATATTGCATTTTGTTTATCCATTCACTAATTGAAGTTCATTTGTATTTTCATTTGGGTTATATCTAGGATTTTTTGGAGCCTATGTACAAATATATATGAAATTGTGTGTGTATGTGTGTGTGTAGCTAGTATACTCCATCTTTTTACTAGATGCCTAGAAATAGGCATATAATAACTGTTTAATAAGAGACTGCTGAACTGCTCTGAAGTAGTCTCCCTATATTTATGTTCACACTGGCAGTGTATGATAGTTACAGTTTCTCTATATCCTTACCAAACTTCTTTTGTTCTCTCTTTTCTCTAATGCTTCCAATCCAAAAGAGCCAATTTTATTTATTTATTTAACCAGTCCTGGGGCTTGAACTCAGGGCCTGAGCTCTGTCCCTGAGCTTTTTTACTCAAGGCTAGCATTCTGACACTTGAGCCACATCACCACTTCTAGTTTCCTGGTGGTTAATTGAAGATAAAGAGTCTCACAGACTTTCCTGCCTGAGCTGGTTTTGTATCATGATCCTCAGATCTCAGCCTCATGAATAACTAGGATTATAGGCCACTGGTGCCTGGCTCCCATTTTGTTTTTAAAATTAGAACACTCTTAACTGGATGCTGGTGGCTCACGCCTGTAATCCTAGCTACTCACAAGGCTGAGATCTGAGGATCACAGTTCAAAGCCAGCCCTGGCAGGAAAGGCCTTGAAACTCTTATCTCCAATTAACCACCAGAAAACCAGAAGTGGGGCTGGGAAGGTGGCTCAGTGGTAGAGCACTTGCCTTGCATGCCTGAGGCCCTGGGTTCGATTCCTCAGCACCACATAAGCAAAAAAGAAAAAAGCCGGAGGTGGTCTAGGCCCCATGACCAGACCCCAGAAAAAAAAGAAAAGAAAAAAAGAAATCCTGCAGAAAACCAGAAGTGGCACTGTGGCTCAAGTGGTAGAGCACTAGCCTTGAGCTGAAGAGCAGAGGGACAGCACCAAGGCCCAGAGTTCAAGCCCCTGACTAACAAAAACAAAAAAAATTAATAACACTCCTAATGAGTAAAGTGGTTTATCTTGAAGCTCTAGTTTGCTCTTAATTGCTAATGATGTTGATCCTTTTTTATATATTTATTGTACATTTGTATATCTTCTCTGGAAAAAAACATCTATTCAAATCCTAACTTATTGTGTATTTTCTTTGTTTCTTTTTTTTTGTCAGTCGTGGGGCCTGAACTCTGGGCCTGGGCTCTGTCCCTCAGCTCTTCAGCTATAGACTAGCACTCTATCACTTGAGCCTCAGCCCCACTTCCGGCTTTTTCTGCTTATTTGGTACTGAGGAATCGAACTGAGGGGCTCATGCATGCAAGGCAAGCACTCTACCACTGAGCCACCTTCCTAGCCTCTGTGTGTTTTCTTTAAGTGCAGTTAATAGGGCTTGAACTCAGGACTTAAATGATGTAATTTAGCTTTTTTGCTCGACTAGTTCTCTAAGCTGGGTGCTGGTGGCTCACAACTGTATTCCTAGCTTCTCAGAAGGCTGAGATCTGAGGATCATGGTTCAAAGCCAGCCCAGTTCAAAGCCAGCCCAGACAGGAAAGTCTGTGAGACTCTTATCTCCAATAAACCACTAGAAAACCGGAAGTGGCACTGTGGCTCAAGCCATACAGTGCTTGCCTTGAGCTGAGGAGCGCAGGGATGGTGCCCAAGCCCAAAGTTCAAGCCCCACTACCAACCAAAAAAAAAAGGACTAGTACTCTACCACTTGTGTCACAGTTTTTTTTTTTTTTTTTGCCAGTCCTGAGGCTTGAACTCAGGGCCTGAGCACTGTCCCTGAGCTTCTTTTTGCTCAAGGCTAGCATAATACCACTTGAGCCACAGCGCCACTTCTAGCTTTTTCTGTTTTTGTGATACTAAGGAATTGAACCCAGGGTTTCATGTATGCTAGGCAAGCACTCTCCCACTAAGCCACATTCCCAGCCCCTAAACAGTTTTTAAAAATTGTATTATTATTATTATTATTATTTGTCAGTTGTGGGGCTTGAACTCTGGGCCTGGGCGCTGTCCCTCAGCTCTTCAGCTCAAGGCTAGCTAGTGCTTTACCACTTGAGTCACAGTGCCACTTCTGGTTTTCTAGTGGTTTATTGGAGATAAGAGTCTCACAGATATCTGTGAGATATCTGTGAGCTGGGTGTAGGTGGCTCATGCCTGTAATCCTAGCTACTCAGGAGGCTGAGATCTGAGGATCAAGGTTCAAAGCCAGCCTGAGCAGAAAAGTCCATGAGACTCTTATCTCCAATAAACCACCAGAAAAACTGGATGTGACACTGTGGCTCAAATGGTAGTGCACTAGCCTTGAGCTGAAGATCACAGGGACAGCGCCCAGGCCCAGAGTTCAAGCCCCAGACCAACCAAAACAAAACAAAGTCTCACGGCTTGGGTTATCTTTTTATTAGTGAGTTGTAGTAGTTCTTTATATATTCCTTATATATTCTTGCTTGGTGGGTTTTATGAGTGTGTTTGTGTGAGTGTTTTGCTGTGGATTGACCAAGGACCTTGCATGTGCTAGGCAAGCACTCTGTTACTGAGCTATATTTATAACCCTTTCTTTCTTTCTTTCTTTCTTTCTTTTTTTAATCTTCCTTTTTTTATTAATAAGTTTTTTTTTATTGTGAAAATACCATATAGATGGGTTACAATTACATGAGCAAGATAATGAGTACATTTCTTGCCAAGCTTTGTTGCCTCCTCCTTTGTTTCCCCCTTGCTTTCTTTTTCTTGTTGGTATTGTATATGCACATGTATGCATGTGCATGGTTGGGGATTGGCCCTGTGGCTTGAACTCAAGGCCTGGTTGCTATTCTTGAGCTTTTTTGCTCAAGACTAGTACTCCTCCTCTTTGAGCCACAGCTCCACTTCCAGTTTTCTGGTGGTTAATTGGAGATAAGAGTATCACAGCCTTCCCTATCTGGGCTGGTTTCAAACCACGATCTTCAGATCTTAGCCTCCTTAATTTCATTTTGTTACCAGCACATAGAAGGCTAATTAAGTATTTCACTCATTCTATGATGAGAGTCAGTGTGTGATGCCTATTTGGTAGAGTTGCTCTATTATTTTGCCTTGACTAGACACATTGTATGTTACACATCTTGAGTTGTGGTTCCCTTAGGCTTTCATTGATAGTATTATGTTAGTCTGTCTAATAAGAGCTATCAGAATAGTACTTTGTGTAAATCATTTGACTTAATACTTAGAATATAATGCCTTTATTTCATATTATATTAGATGTACTTTTAATAGATAAATAACTTTCAAGGAGAAGTCGTTTGATTTTATTTTATATAAGTATAGGCTTTATTTTGTTTACAATACTTTCCTATTATTGAAGCTTAGAAAAGGTTTAAGCTGATTTTATTATCAGCTATAAAACAAAACAAATTTAAAATTTCATGTTTAAGAAAGATTATTTTTGAAACTTTAACATATCTTTTTCAGGGTCAGTTAAATGAAAGCATGGACCATGGGGGAGTTGGACCATATGAACTGTAAGTTTATATGCAGCTTTTTTTGGTTTGGAGTGTGTGTGTGTGTGTGTGTGTGTGTGTGTGTGTGTGTGTGTGTGTGTGCGTGTGTGTGTGCGTGCGCGCGCGTGTGCGCGTGTACATGTGCATGTGTATGTGTGTATGTGTATGCATGCATACATGCGTGTATTCGTTCCAGTTATGTGGCTTAAACTCAGGGCTTGGGCACTGTCCCTGAGCTTTTTGCTCAAGAATAATGCTCCTCTATTTAAACCATAGTTCCCCTTCCAGCTTTTTGGTGGTTAATTGGAAATTAATGGGTTTTTTTGTCCGTGCTGCCTTTGAACCAGGATTTTCAGATCTCAGCCTCTTGAGTATCTAGGATTACAGGCATGAGCCACTGGCTCCTGCAGGAATTTGTATTAGTTTAATATAGAGAACTAAGTTAGAAAACTTTCTAACTTCTTTTGAAAAATTTGTCAAATGAAGCTTCTAGTTTTGTTTTAATACACCATTCAGACAGATTCATGCAATGTTGAGTCATATTACACAGTTCTGTTGGGGTACGTGGTGATTAATTTTCTCTGTTCTTATTCTTAGCTAAGAAGCCTTGGAATAAGAGGGAACCTAAAATGTAGACTGTAGGAAGCGTTTAAATGACAGACACAATTGCCACTTTTGGAGTCCTTAAATCAATCTAATAACTTAGAAAATCAGATGCAGGAAGATAAAGGGATATATTTTATTATCAAGGATTTTTGTTAGCAACAAATGAACCAATTGGGTAGTTTTCAAAAGATCTTGGATTTTTTTGTGCAGGTTGCCAAATGGTATTAATTAGTTAATACCTCATGAATGTTTTGAATGAATTTTTTTCCCTTTGTCAGCTCAGTAAAATCACTATGATTTATTCTAGTTTGAGGGGTTTGATACATATACTCTGTGCTGTGAACAAGCTGATAAGCAATTATTAACCCATCCTAATTATTATTTTTTTAAATGTTTTTTATTGTGAAAATACTGTACTGAGGGGTTACAGATACATGAGCAAGGTAATGAGTGCATTTCTTATCAAGCATTGTTGCCTCCTCTGTTTTTCCCTACCATCCCTTCCCTCCCACCTCTTCAACTACACTCCCCCTTATTAGTATTTTTGTGGGTTTTTGGGCTTGAACTCAGGGCCTGGGCTCTGCCCCTAATCTCTTTTGCTCAAGTGTACCACTCTATCACTTTGAGCCACAGCTCCACTTCCAGTTACTGAGTGATTCATTGGAGATAAGAATCTCATAGGGGGCTGGGAAGGTGGCTCAGTGGTAGAGCACTTGCCTTGCATGCATGAGGCCCTGGGTTCGATTCCTCAGCACCACATAAGCAAAAAGGAAAAAGCCGCAAGTGGCGCTGTGGCTCAAGTGGTAGAGTGCTAGCCTTGAGCTGAAGAGCTGAGGGACAGTGCCCAGGCCCAGAGTTCAGGCCCCACGACCGTACCAAAAAAAAAAAAGAATCTCATAGGGACTTTTCTGCCCTGGCTGGCTTCTTCCGAACTATGATCCTCATATTTCTAGTGCCTGGGTTAATTCATCCTAATTTTGATGTGCTGTATCATTGACTCATTGGCCTGTACTGGGGAGTACAGATACTTGTCAAAATATAGTACATGTAGGTTTTTTTTTCTTAATTGGATTCCATTTCTCCTTTCTAATCTGGTGAAAATGAATTCAACTTTTTGTAAATTCACTTTTGGTTTTGCTTTTCTTCCCAGTGGTATGGAACATTGTGAGAAATTTGAAATCTCAGAAACTAGCGTGAACAGAGGGCCGGAAAAGATCAGACCAGAATGTTTTGAGCTACTTCGGGTACTTGGTAAAGGGGGCTATGGAAAGGTAGGAAGTGTTTTCAATTTAGCTGTTGTCTTTCTTGAGTAGATTGACTTTTATAATGTTGTTCCAGGAGTCATCTTCAGTCTTTTTAACTTCAACAAAAGATTTAAACATGATTTGGTATAATTTGAGGGATGTAAGAAGTTTGGGTTTTCTTCCTTTTCTTTCTACCATACCTAATAGTATTTATTGAATGAATTAATAAATACTAGCTATGCTAGGTAAAGCCCATTACTAGAGGATCAATTCTTGCCTTTGGTTAAATGGTACTTTATGTGGGTATTGTCTTTAAACACAAACAAATCACTCCTGCTTTCAAGAGACATATACACTAAATTATCTATTCCCGAGACCTTAATAGGAATTGATTTTCTTAGACTTGGAGTATCTAGAGAAACAGAGCTAGGGAAGCTGAAAAAATACAAAAAGATAGTTTCTTGATTCTAGCCAAGGTTTTCTAATTTAAGTTATCATTTTTTGTATCTTACTGAAGAAAATAGACCTCACTATTACCTCTCAAAAGTCAATTTAGATGGCAACTTGATAAGGATAAATAACTATACTGTTAATGTTAATTCTGAAAAATGTGTGATTTATAATGTATTATGAAGTCTAAGGACACATTGTAATATATTCTTCCTGAATGTGTAACACATGTGCTTTTACTTGTTTGTCGTTTGTTGGTGATAGAGGTTTGAACTCGGCTTTTTGCTTGTTAGGTAGGTACTCTACTACTAGAACCATGCTTCAATTCCTTTTTTTTTGTGCCGTTTCCTGGGGCTTGAACTCAGACTGGTCACTGTCCCTGAGTTTTTACACTCAAGACTTGCTCTCTACCACTTGAACCACAGCTGCACTTCCAGCTTTTTTTTTTTTTTTTTGCCAGTTCTGGGGCTTGAACTCAGGCCCGGGCACTGTCCCTGAGCTGCTTTGCTCAAGGCTAGCACTCTTCCACTTGAGCCACAGCACCACTTCTGGCTTTTTCTGTGTCTGTGGTGCAGAGGAATAAAACCCAGAGCTTCCTGCATGCTAGGCAAGCACTCTGCCACTAAGCCACATTTCCAGCCCCCCTAGCTCTTATTTTCGGTAGGTAGAGATAAAAGTCTCACTAGCTGGGCACTGGTAAATCATGCCTGTAATCCTAGCTACTCAGCAGGCTAAAATCTAAGGATCTCAGTTCAAAGCCAGCCCTAGCAGCAAAGTCCATGAGACTCTTATCCAATTAAATACCAGAAAACCAGAAATTGGTGCTGTGGCTTAAAGTGGTAGAGCACTAGTCTTTAGTGAAAAAAGCTCAAACCCCACGACCACCACCACCACCAATGACAACAACAAAAACAACAAAAAGTCTCACGGACTTTCCTGCATAGGACAGCTCTGAACTTCAATCTTAAGATTTCAGCTTTCTATGCCAGGCGCTGGTGGCTCACACCTGTAGTCCTAGCTACTCAGGAGGCTGAGATCTGAGGATCGAGGTTCAAAGCCAGCCTGGGCAGGAGAGACCGTGAGACTCCGATCTCCAATAAACCACCAGAAAACCGGAAGTGGCGCTGTAGCTCAAGTGGTAGAGCGCTCGCCTTGAGCTGAAGAGCTGAGGACAGCGCCCAGGCCCAGCGTTCAAGCCCCACGACCGACAAAAAAAAAAAAAAAAAAGATTTCAGCTTTCTGAGTAGCTGGAATTACAGGCTGTTGAACCTGGTACTTGGCTCGATCTCAACCTTGAAACTTAAATATTTTAGCTATGGACTGAAATGTTTAATAGCCAGTGTATTTAATGGGATGGGTAAATAGTAATTTTTGTCAAATATAATTGGTTTTATGTCAAGCAATAACATAGCAGCTTGTTCTTGTTTCTTTTCCTGAATGAAGTATATGAAACAATTTAATAGTTTTTAAGTTTGTTAGTGTGTTTTTGGGAACCCCGACTATAGATGTAAGTAAACTAGGGTTTTATATATAAAATAGCATGTACAGTTCATCATTTAGTTATTTCCAAATATTGCCACCAGGTGGCAGCAGACCAAACAGGAAAGTCCCATATTTGCTAGACTACACTAGTAAATTTTAAAATATGTTTCTAGCTGGACGTTGGTGGCTCATGCCTGTAATCCTAGCTACCCAGGAGGCTGAGATCTGAGGATCATGGTTCAAATCCAGCCCAGGCAAGGAAAGTCTGTGAGACACTTATTTCCAATAAACCACCAGAATGCGGGAAGTGGTGCTGTAGCTCAAGTGGTAGAGCGCTCGCCTTGAGCTGAAGACTACAGAGACAGCGCCCAAGCCTAAGCCCCATGACCGACAAAAAAAAAAAAAACTATAAATAAAAAAAATGTTTCTGAAGCTGGTCATTTTTGAGTTTAGTCTTGTATGGTGCTAGTTTTTATAATAAAGTCTATCATATATATCTTATGAATTAAGATAGTATGACCTACATAGTTTGCCTGTTAATAATGCAAAAACACTTATTTCTTTATCTAGGTTTTTCAAGTAAGAAAAGTAACAGGAGCAAATACTGGAAAAATATTTGCCATGAAGGTGCTTAAAAAGGTGATTCTTCTCTTCCCTTCTTAATTACTGTAAAAATTTAGCATAAAATTAAAAATAATGTGTTTATAGGGACTGTTGTTGTAACTCACTAGTAGAGTGCATGCTTAGCATACCTGAAGCATTGGGTTCAATTTCCAGCACTATAAAAGATAAAAAGGACTAGCAGCATAGATCAGGTGGTAGAGTATCTGAGTACAAATCTCAGTACCAGCACACACAAAAATTATTTTTTCTAACAGTTATCTTCTTAGAATGTGACATATATTGCATTTTTATTCCTGCTTTATTTCTGTATTGTGAGCATATAGAAAGTATTTTTAATTGTCCTCTGAGGTAATTCTTTTTTTTTTCTTCTCTCTTTTTTTTTTTAAATTGTGAAAATACCATACAGAGGGGTTACAATTACATGGGCAAGGTAATGAGTACATTTCTTATCAAGCATTGTTGTCTACTCCTTTGTTTTCCCTTACCATTCCTTCCCATCTTCCCCCCCCCCCAGGTAATTCTTTTAGCTGTTCAGTCTCCATATTTTAAGTAATAAACATACATAGTTACTGCTGGGTTCAGCAGTTTTAGAATGATGTGTTGGGCTCCTATTATGAAAATTAAGGGTTTTAATCTCTTATTCTCCTTTTTCTCTTCCCTCTTATTTTCATTTGTTGTCATTGGATCTATTATCGTCTCACACTTTCCAACAACTCTTAAAAACACCTGTCTCGTGTTCTTTAGTCAGACTTATTAGATTATCTGTCAGTTTCATTTATTTTGCTAGAGGTCTCTTTTTAGGAATTTTTTGTTCCTCCATTCTTATCTGAGCTTATAGCTCTCTAGGAATGGAGTTCCTTTAGACCTATCCTTAACCGTTGTCCCTAAAATCTTGACTCCTTCAATACTGGATCCTGTTTTGAGACTTCATGTTTTTCTCTTTCTTATGTCATTTCCTTGATATGGTAATGATCTGCTTGTAGCTTCTGAGAAAAGGTGTGTGAAAATAAAAATTCTGACATATGTATACATATGTATGTATACATGCATATATACACACATACAAACATATATTCCATATTTGAACATTTATTAGACTTTTATACTTGATTGTGTGCATGCATGTATGAATGTTAAGAGTGATGGGGCTGGATATTGACCCCAGAGCTTTGTACATGTTAGGCAAGTACTATACTATACTACATCCTCAGCCCCCTTCAAGTTTTTTTTGTCAGCCGTGGGACTTGAACTCGGCTTGGGCACTGTCCCTATGCTCTTCAGCTCAAGGTGAGCTCTCTACTGCTTGAGCCACAGCTGCACTTCTGGTTTTCTAGTAGTTTATTGGTGATAAGAGTCTCACGGACTTTCCTGCCCTAGCTGGCTTTGAACAGTGATCCTCAGATCTCAGCCTCCTGAGTAGCTAGGATTACAGATGTGAGCTATAGTCGCCTGGCCCCCTTTGAGGGAAGGTGGGTTGCTTGCTTTCTTTCTTTCTTTCTCCTTCCTTCCTTCCTTCCTTCCTTCCTTCCTTCCTTCCTTCCTTCCTTCCTTCCTTCCTTCCTTCCTTCCTTTCCTTCTTTCTTTCTTTCTCGGTTGTGGGCATGAACTCTGGGCCTGGGCGCTATCCTTCAGCTCAGGGCTAGCACTCTACCACTTGAGCCACAGCACTGCTTCCGGCTTTTCCTGCTTATGTGGTGCCAAGGAATTGAACCCAGGGCCTCATGCATGCAAGGCAAGCACTCTACCACTGAGTCACCTTCCCAGCCCTCTTTAATGTTTTCTTTGCGTATGAAATGTTTCTCTCTTCTAAGTTCCTGTTCTCTTTTCTTCTTCTTTTTTTTTTTTTTGTCAATGGGGGGATAGAATTCAGGGTCTGGTTGCTGTCCCTGAGATGCTTGTGCTCAAGACTAGCATTCTACCACTTCAAGCCACTTTTGGTTTTCTGGTGGCTAATTTGAGATAAGAGTATCACAGTCTTTCCTGTCCAGGCTGTTTTTTTTAAAGTAAGTTTTCTTATTGTGAAAATACCATACAGAGGGGCCAGGCTGGTTTTGAACCGTGATCCTCAGAAATCAGCTTCTGAGTAGAATTACAGGCATGAGCCATCAGTACCCAGTTTATTTTATATTTTTATTATTACCTTTTGGGTGGCTTGTTTTAGCCTCTTGAGCTCTCTATCCTCTTGCCTCAGCATTCTGAGTACTAGAATTAAAGTACTATTCAAGATTCTTAAGTAACTGATTACATATCTGATACCTGGGTTGCCTTATATTAATCATCAATTAAACCATAGTGAAATATGTTCCTGGCACAAATACCTTTAGTGAAAAAGAAGATGTTGGCCTGGGAAGGTGGCTCAGTGGTAGAGTGCTTGCCTTGCATGCATGAGGCCCTGGGTTTCATTCCTCAGTACCACATAAGCAGAAAAAGCTGGAAGTGTCACTGTGGTTCAAGAGGTAGAACGTTAACCTTGAGCTGAAGAGCTGAGGGATAGTGCCCAGGATCAGAGTTCAGGCCTTAGGACCAGGGGGGAAAAAAAAGATGTTGGTTTTTTGTTCACTAATAGTGGTAAAGTACATACTAGGAAATCTTAATTACTGCTAAGTGTCATGACTCCTGTCTGAGCCAAAGCATCATTTGGCTTGGTTATTATTCCTTCTTACTCTTATGGTACTTGCCCTAAGCTTGGCTAGAGGATCAGATACTCTATTCTTCCTTGCTGTCCTCAAACAAGCTTGCAGCAAAAGTAATGAAAGCAGTCAGGTACCAATGACTCATGCCTGTAATCCTAGGTACTTAAGAGGCTAAATCTGAGGTTTGAAGCCAGTCCAAGCAAAAAAGTTTATGAGACTCTTATGCCTAATTAGCCAGTAAAAAGCTAGAAGTGGAAGTGTAGCTCAAGTGGTAGAGTACCAGCCTTGAGCAAAAAAAAAGGCGATAGCACTCTGGCCCTAAATTCAAGCCCCAGTACTGGCATCAAAAAGACAAGGAAAAAAAAGCGAAGTGCATTTTAGTTTCTGAATCCCTAGATGACATGAAAGTATGCTCTTCCTTTTGAGTTCCTTCTGTTTTAATTATTCTGGAAACAGAAAAATACTCCCTGACCTAAGAATGTAGGAAGAATGAATATACTTCTTTCCAGGATTAAAGATTAAATTGGAGGGGAAGCTTATGTCCCATTTTCTTAAGTGAGTTGTTCACATCTGCCTAGACATAACCAGATTATATACTTTTCATAGGAAAGGCACCATTTGGGTATTGACTCATGGTAGAATGTTGAAAAAAAACACTGAACAGCCATCATAAGAGATATGTTGTCTCTGCTTCTTACTGTATCATTCAAAGAAAGAATGAATAAATTTAATCTTAAAATTACTTGTGTGCCCTTTGAGAAACCCATTTCTCCTTTGAGAAATAAGCCTATAATCTTCCTGTCCCTACTTCCCATGTTTGTCTACCCCATTTCCTTTTTTTTCTTCAAATTTATGAAGACTTCAATACCTAATTCAGTCTTTTCCCTCCATGTCCATGTCCAAGTCTTATCATCATAGATATCTTCACTGTCTTTGTATTACAGACATCACCAATAACCTAGCCTGTTAATTCTTTGATGATACCAATTCCTCTGCTTTTACTTCCACACCAAATTCTTTATTCTTTTTTTTTTTTTGTCGGTTGTGGGGCTTGAACTCTGGGCCTGGGCGCTGTCCCTCATCTCTACAGCTCAAGGCGAGCGCTCTACCACTTGAGCTACAGTGCCACTTCCAGTTTTCTGGTGGTTTATTAGAGATAGGAGTCTCACAGTCTTTCCTGCCCGGGCTGGCTTTGAACCCTGATCCTCAGATCTCAGCCTCCTGAGTAGCTAGGATTACAGGCGTGAGCCACCGGCGTCCAGCTCACAACTCTTAAATTTTTTTTTGAATCAGCCTAATCAGTATGATCTGCCATATTATTCATTTGCTAGCCCCTTTGACCTTGTCAAAGCAAGTCTTAATTTGAACCAGCTTTATTCCTGTATCTCAACTACTAAGCAATGCTGGCAGAAACCACACAAACCTGTGGAGTTCTATTGGGAAGATTTATAATCTCCAATTCCTTTTGAACTCTGGGCTTGAGCCTGGGTACTGTCCCTGAGCTCTTCAGCTCAAGGTGTGTGCTCTATCACTTGAGCCACAGCTCCACTTCCAGTTTTCTGGTGGATAATTGGAAATAAGTTTCATGGACTTTCTTGCAGAGGCTGGCTTTGAACCGTGATGTTCAGATCTCGGCCTCTTGAGTAGTTAGGATTACAGGCGTGAGCCAGCACTGGTGCCTGGTTTCTCCAACTCCTTTTTTTTTTGTTGTTGTTGGTTGTGGGGCTTGAACTCTGGGCTTGGGCGCTGTCCCTGCGCTCTTCAGCTCAAGTTGAGCGCTCTACCACTTTGAGCCATGGTGCTACTTCTGGTTTTCTAGTGGTTTATTGGAAATAAGAATCTTATGGACTTTCCTGCCCAGGCTGGCTTTGAACTGTGATCCTCCGATCTCAGTGTCCTGAGTAGCTAGGATTACAGGTGTTAGCCATCCCCTCCCTAATTAAGGTTGTGGGGCCTGAACTCTGGGCCAGGGTGCTGTCCCTCAGGTCTTCAGTTCAAGGCCAGCGCTCTACCACTTGAGCCACAGTGCCACTTTTGGCTTTTTTCTTTTTGGTGCTGAGCAATCGAACCCAGGACCTCAGGCATACAAGGCAAGCGCTCTACCACTGAGCCACCTTTCCAGCCCCACACACATATTTTTTAAGATATCTCACTATATTCTCCAGTCTGACCTCAATCCTTGACCGTCTTGCCTTAGTTTTCCAGGTGGTAAGCTTACAGGCATGTGCTACCTCCTCATACAGCTCATATGTGTATTCTTATTTCTCCATACTTGCATAAATGATACCATGCTATCTATCTATACATATACATATATGTACATACACACATACACATATATATGTACTATAGATGTGTCTGTATTTACTTTTTTTTTTTTTTTGGTCTGTCATGGGGCCTGAACTCTGGGCTTGGGCGCTGTCCCTCAGCTCTTCAGCTCAAGGCTAGCGCTCTACCACTTGAGCCACAGCGCCACTTCTGGCTTTTTCTGCTTAGGTGGTGCTGAGGAATCGAACCCAGGGCCTCATGCATACAAGGCAAGCACTCTACTACTGAGCCATCTTCCCAGCTCCTATTTACTGTTTTGCATATTGCTTTCATAGAGGTGTTCATTGTTCTTTTTATAGTTTTATTTTCCTACACATTTTTTTTTTTTGGGTCGGTCATGGGGCTTGAACTCTGGGGCTGGCCACTGTCCCTCAGCTCTTCAAGCTCAAGGTTAGCGCTCTATCACTTGAGCTACAGCACCACTTCTGGTTTTGAGTTTCACGGATTTTCCTGCCCAGGCTGGCTTTGAACCAAGATCCTCAGATCTCAGCCTCCTGAATAGCTAGGATTACAGGCGTGAGCCACCAGCGCCCAGCACATACTGTATTTTCTGTAGGTCTTCAGACAACATTTTTCTGGCATTTAATTTTTTTTCCCAGCACTTCACTTTGTACATAATGTTGCAACTAATAACCTTATGTATGTATTTTTCATATTACTAGAGTTGTGTACCACAAGGTAACTTCCTAGAATGTAGACTTAGCATATCCAACACAGTATTGCAAGGTCCATTCCTGGATGGCGAGCAGACTCCACCCAGTACCTGTGTTACCTAGGCAACTGGGACACCTGGAAGAGGTCACATCTGCATCTGCTGAGGTCACATCTGGATCTGATGTGGCCATACCTTTCTCCCACCGGGTCCTACCTCCTCTTACCTGGTCCCACCTCCCTTTACCTGGCCACACCTTTCCCCGCCCCTACCCTAGATAAGGCCTAGCCCAGGACCAGAAGCCCTCTTTGCCAGCGGAGTGGAGTGCCAACCTGACCTGGTCCCAGCAGGTCTACTGAATAAACTTACCCCTTACCTGAATACCACGTGCGTGGGCTGTTCTAACTCGGCTACCTCTTTTTAAAAACCTAACAAGTATGTCATCTTAAAATCATTTTTGCCCCCACTTCCATTCTGTTGTTAAATGATTCTATTGTGTACTTTGCAGAAACAGGGTATTATCATTTCTTTCTCCCCCTCCCCTTCTCTTCCTCCTCTTCCCCTTCCTCCCTCTTTCCTCCTCCTCCCCTTCCTCCTCAACGCTTCTTCCTCTTCCTTCTCCCCCTCCTCCCAAGTTCCCCCTCCTCCCAAGTTCCCCCTCCCTCCTCTTCCCCCTCCTCCTCCTCCTCTTCCTTATTTGCCAGTCCTGGGGCCCTGGGCACAGTCCCTGAGCTCAAGGCTCATATTAGGCAAGCACTCTACATTAAACCATATTACCAACCTATCATTTCTTTCTTTTTTTTTTTTTTTGTCAGTCATGGGGCTTGAACTCTGGGCTTGGGCACTGCCCCTGAGCTCTAGCTTACGGCTAGTGCTCTACTTGAGCCATAGCACCACTTCTGGTTTTCTCATGGTTAATTGAAGATGAGAGTCTCACAGATTTTTCTGCCCAGACTGGCTTTGAACTGTGATCATCAGATCTCAGCCTCCTGAGTAGTTAGAATTATAGGCATGAACCACTGGTACCTGGCTTATTATTTTTTCTTGTGTCTGGTTAGTCAACAAGTATAAATTATGAATTTTCAGTCTTTCATTTTTATTTTTTCTACCTTGATTTCTCATTTGCAAATGCTCCTACTTACTTTTTTCCTATGCTAGCTTTCTTTTTTTTTTTCTTCTTCTTTTTTTTCTTCTAGTCCTGGGGCTTGAACTCAGGGCCTGGGCACTGTCTCTGATGATTTTCTTTTGCTCAAGGCTAACATTCTACCACTTGAGTCATAGAACCATTTCCAGCTTTTTCTGTTTATGTGGTACTGAGGATCATACATGCTAGGCAAGCACTGTACCACTAAGCCACATTCCCAGCCACCCTCCTATACTAGCTTTCTAAGTCTCTTTTCTTCTCAAATTCCACGATGCTACTAGCACTGTTTTTCTCAAAGCCAAAGGTTATTTGCTATACTCATCTCAAGATTTTTTTTTTGCCTCTAAATTTCCGGTAACTTTGCCTAGATGTTTAACCCCCTCCATTTCTTGGCCTCTGCTTATTTTTCCAACCTTTAACCACTGTAAACCACACTAAACTGCTTGTAGATTTCCTGGATATGTCCTGTTCAGCATTTTTTCCATTGGAATGTCTCTATTAATTTCCTTCTACATTGTATCTTTCCAAGGTACAGCTCAGGTACCTGGAGGAAAACTTCTTGCCAGGTTGGGTGAAGTTCACTCAAAGTGATCTGTGCTCACTTTCATTGACTCACCTTTTTCCCTGATACTCTAGGCTCCACGGATAGGGTGCTCCTCCTGTTAGTTCTGCTTTCTTGGTACAGAGCCTGGAAATACTTAACAGTTAGTGAATATATGAATAAATTCAATTTGCTTGCAGATTTCTTAGAAAATATGTCTTTAGGTTTTCATTTACATGCTTACTGCCAAACAATCAAATACTTTAGATAAGAAACAAGTATCTTCTACTTCCCCATCTCAGTTTCTAATGGGTGCTATTCAGTATTGGTCAGGCCACAACATAGATTTTCCAGTTTCTACAGAATAAAAATGTTCACTATTTTGTTCTTATAGCTCATCTCTTTTCCTTTAGGCAATGATAGTAAGAAATGCTAAAGATACAGCTCATACAAAAGCAGAACGGAATATTCTGGAGGAAGTAAAGCATCCCTTCATTGTGGATTTAATTTATGCCTTTCAGACCGGTGGAAAACTCTACCTCATCCTTGAGTATCTCAGTGGTCAGTACACAGTTTGTGTAATTATTTCACATTTACTCCAGAAACTGGGTCTAACCATTGTTTTCCAATGGAAAAATGCTTTTTCCCATTGTGATCAAATAATTCTTAACACTAATGAGCACAGTGAAGTAAGGAATTCAGATGTGAATACGTTTGCAAATAGGAAGGAAACTCCATTGTTTTCTTACCTATAAAATGTTAGTCCCTTTGTAATAAGCCACTTAAACATAATTAGTTGTGCTGGAGTAAGATTATATAATTCAAATAAACTATTAATACATTTATTTCTAAATTGAAGTGAGTAAACTTGTTGAAAATATTAACGTACCGAAGTTTTGAAATTATATTTTTCCACAAAGAAGTTTGTTTTGTCATTTGTGGGACTTGAATTCGGGGCCTGGCACTGTCTCTGAGCTCTTTTGCTCAAGATTAGTGTTCTACTACTTTGAGCCACAGTGCCACTAGTGGTTTTCTGGTGATTAATTGCAATCAGAGTCTTTGGGACTTTCCTACCAGGGCTAACTTTAAACTGCAGTCCTCGGATCTCAGCCTCCTGAATAGCTAGGATTACAGGCATGAGCCACAAGCATCCCACCACAAAGGTGTTTTTAATGTAGTTTTAATGATAGGGTATGTAGGAATCATTACATTTTCCACATTTTACCACCTGTTGGAAACCTGTTGCTTCCCATTTCTAAATCACAAGTATATTTTCAGCAAGCACCCTTGAGATTCCTTTTTTTTTTTTTTCTTTTTCTTTTTTTCTGTACTGGTTCTGCAGCTTGAACTCTGGGCTTGGGGACTGACCCTGTTGTGTGAAGGCTAGTATTCTACCACTTGATCTAAGCACCACTTCCAGTTTTTTGGGTAGTTTTTGTGGATATAAGAGTCTTACAGATTTTACTGCCTAGGCTGGCTTCAAACTGTGATCTTCAGATCTCAGCCTTCTGAGTGGCTGGGATTATAGACCTGAATCACTGGTACCTGACTCACCCTTGAGATTTCTAAGAAACATATTTCAAAATAGCTCATGACATGGAACAGAAAACTGGAATTTTGCAACTTTTTTTTTTTTTCTTATGTGGTGCTGAGGAATCGAACCCAGGGCCTCAAGCATGCAAGGCAAGCACTCTACCACTGAGCCAACTTCCCAGCCCTTTTGCAACTTTTTGTGACTACAGTTTTTTGGTAACTTTATTTTGATAAAATTTCAGACTTAAATAAAAAAACTTTCACCTACTGCACAGAATTGAGTATAGTGACCTGTAATCCCAGCACTTGGTAGATAAGAGCAGGAGGCCAGCCTAATTACATAGTGAGACCTTACCTCTAATAAACAAAAAGAATATTACAAAGAATTCTCATATACTGCTCACCTAGATCCTCCACATATTACCATTTTACACTTGTTTCATCATCCTTTTTTTTTTTTTTTTGGGTCCGGTTGTGGGGTCTGAACTCTGGGCCTGGGTGCTGTCCCTCAGCTCTTCAGCTCAAGGCTAGCGCTCTAACACTTGAGCCACAGCGCCACTTCCGGCTTTTTTCTTTTTGCTTATGTGGTGCTGAGGAATCGAACCCAGGGCCTTGAGCATGCAAGGCAAGCGCTCTACCACTGAGCCACCTTCCCAACCCTCATCATCCTTTTATACCTATGTGTGTACACACACACACACACACGATTTTTTTTTTTTTTTTGGGTCCAGTCATGGGGTCTGAACTCTGGGCCTGAGCGCTGTCCCTCAGCTCTTCTGCTCAAGGCTAGCGTTCTACCACTTGAGCCACAATGCCACTTCCGGCTTTTTTTTCTGCTTATGTGGTGCTGAGGAATCGAACCAAGGACCTCATGCATGCAAAGCAAGCGCTCTACCACTGAGCCACCTTCCCAGCCCCTGCCTATGTATGTATTATGTGCATATTATATTATTTTTTGGTCGGTTGTGGGGCTTGAACTTTGGGCCTGGGCGCTGTCCCTCAGCTCTTCAGCTCAAGGCAAGCGCTCTACCGCTTGAGCTACAGCGCCACTTCCGGTTTTCTGGTGGTTTATTGGAGATAGGAGTCTCATGGTCTCTCCTGCCCGGGCTGGCTTTGAACGGTGATCCTCAGATCTCAGCCTCCTGAGTAGCTAGGATTACAGGCGTGAGCCACCAGCGCCCAGCTATTATGTACATATTATACACACACACTCAGATAATTTTCCAGACTGTTTTAAGCGCAATACAGACATTTGCTTTTAAAAACCTCAGTGCTGGCTTTCTAAAATCAAGGACAATCTTTTAGATAAGTGCACTAAAATTATCAAAAAATAAGTAGCCAGATGCTGATGGTTCATGCTTATAATCTCAGCTGCTCAGGAGACTGATGTCTTGAGAGTCACATTTCTAAGCTACTCTGCGCGGATAACTCTGAGACTCAACATTCTTCGAGTGGTAGAGTTCAGCCATCAGCACAAAAGCCAAGCAAGAACTTAAAGCTCTGAGTTCTGGCACACACATACTAAAAAGAATTTCCTTAGTTTTTTAAAAAATGTGAATCAGTTTCTCTGTCTTTGTCTCTGTGTGCTGGTGGCTCATACATGTAATTTAGTTGCTGTGGAGGCTGAAATCTAAAGATAACAATTTGAAGCCAATCTGGATAGGAAAGTCATTGTGACTCTTACTTCCAAACACCATCAAAAAGTCAGTAGTAGAGCTGTGGTTCAACTGGTAGAGAGATAGTTTTGGACAAAAAAGCTCAGATACAGTGCCCAGCACCTGTGTTCAAGTTCCAGAACTGGCATAAAAAATAAAAATAAAAAAGGAGTGCTAGCCAGTTATTTTGTAGAATGTATCAACTTGGGTTTATCTGATGTTTCTTTAGGATTAAATTCAAGTTCAAGATCATAGAAATATCATTGTATCTTTTTCAGTGTTCAGAAAAGGAGGTACATGGTATTTCTATTTTTTGTCCCACTATTGGTGATGTTCACTTTGGTCATATGTGTTAGATGGTATCTGCCAGTTTCTTCCTTTTGTAATTAATAAGTATCTTTTAAGGAGATACTTTGAAATTCTTTAAATATGTCATCTCATCAAGCTTTCATATTTAGTTTTGGCATCCATTGATTCCTGCCTGTAATAATTAACTGAGATGTTTAGCCAATGATTTTTCTTATTCCATCATGCCTTCTTCATTTATTACTTGGCATTCTAGTGTATTAAAGAGCTTTCCTTTCTGACCTATTTAAAAATTGCATTTATTCATTTATCTACATCATCATGGACTCCTGGATTCTAAGATTACTAAATGAAATATAGCCCTTTGTTATTTACCTTCATCTTCAAATTGTGCCATGCTTATCACAGAGTCACTTTAAGGATTCTGAAAATATGAAATGCTAGCATTCACTAAAATTAGGATAGTTTAATTGTATAGTATCAATTTTCTACTTAAGGGTAAAATGTTAAAGAGGCTATAATCAAAATACTTGTTCAGGCTAAAGGTCTGAAATCTATATTTTCAAGTTTGTAGATGTAAAATCTGGAATTCCAAGCCAGTTCTAGTTTTCAAACTTTCTATGTGCCATAATAATACTGCTCAAAATGTAACCTTGCAGATTTTGTTTTAAAACATAATTTGGGGGATTTTTTTCAAGGAAATAGTATCTTTTATTATAGTTAGAAGGCAAGCACAAAATCATTATAAGTGAATTGGAAATAAAAAGTTATTACTTCTAATGACTCCTCCTTTTCTCTACAGGAGGAGAACTATTTATGCAGTTAGAAAGAGAAGGAATATTTATGGAAGACACAGCCTGGTGAGTGAATATTTTATGATTTCATGGTTTCAGGTAATAATTCATATAATTAAAAACAAAGTCCCATTCTCACTGTGGGCAGCCATATGATCAGTAAACTGATTGGAGCCAGTCAGTAATTCAGAACTTCAAGGAGCAGAAATAGCTTTGGGACTGGGCAGCTATTGGAGGTCATGTGATTCCTTTGCCCCAGACTTTGGGTGGATTGCTCTTCATACAGTTAGTCCTAACAACCATTCTTTTTGGGACTTTTTTTCCCCCTCAAATTGGTAAACTGCCTGCCTTGGCTCTTGTGAATGTGGTTTTCAGGTAAAACTTTGTATGTAGAGCAATGGAAGTATCAGAAATCTTTTTTTTCCCTCTATCTCTTCTCTCTTTCTTTCTTTCTTTCTTTCTTTCTTTCTTTCTTTCTTTCTTCCTTCCTTCCTTCCTTCCTTTCTTCCTTTCTTCCTTTCTATTTATTTATTTTAAGACTTTCCAGTTTTAGGGGAGTTTATATGCCTGGGAACATATCATCTGTAGTTGACTGTATAGCCAGGCTGGCTGGGATCTACCCTTCTATTCATAATGGGACATCTGCTTCAAATTAAAAATGTGCTCATCCTTTCAAAAAGTGATAATATTGGGTAATGATAAATTAGTTAATCCTACACATTAATTGAATAGAAAACAACACTTAAATGTTTTTCCTATCTTAATTACCAAACTTCATTCATTGTTTAATTTCAGGCCTTTTCTAACACAGAAGCTGCATTTAAGAGCCTTAGGGATGAAGTGCCCTTTTTTGGAGGAGGCTCTCTGAGCCCTGTTGGAGGCTGTGTTTGTGGTCCTGCTGGCTGTGAAACTGCCTCAGTCCTCTAGGACACACCCTCTCCATCCTGGAGTAATCTGCAGGATTGCAACATTGTTATGCAGCCAGTAATGCAGTGCCTTGTGCTTTTCGAATCCAGACAGGGTTGACTCAGCCCTTTATTCTTTTGAGGTAGATAAATTTGAGTGTCACACAGTCTATAGTTTGTGGGCTGGCTGGCAAGAGGGAGGGCAGATACTGTGGGCATAGCTGTCTATAGACAGCTGTATTAAGTAAGGGATGAATGGAATTCTAAGGGTCAGGTTTTAAGGTAACTTTTTAAATCAAGACTTGATCTCTGAGAATAATAAAGTTCTTATATGTTATGGGATTTTAAAGCTGGGGGTGGGTGGGAGGAATTTGCTTTAATCTGAATGACTGTTGGCCTAATCCCTACATAGACAGAACAGAATTTGGTCAATGATAGTTTGGTATATTCTAGACACGTTTACAGTTTTGAATAGTATATTCTAATGGCAAAGTAAAACATAGTTTCACTAAACCAAGTGAAACCAATTTCCCCATGCCTTTTGGTAGCATCTAGTACCATCTCTTTCCTCACACATTCCCCACCCTCCCCTCCCCACTAATTTGGTCTTTGGTGCATGTCTGTTTCTTTCAAGGAATTTTGCTCCATACATAATCTGCTTTGGGTAGATTACTTTTCTTAATTTTATGAAATCATTTTTGTTTCCAGCTTTTACTTGGCAGAAATCTCCATGGCTTTGGGGCATTTACATCAAAAGGGGATCATCTACAGAGACCTGAAGCCGGAGAACATCATGCTTAATCACCAAGGTGGAGATATGTCATAAGCAATTCTGTAGTAAATAATCATCTTAATATCCTCCCACACAGGTCATGGCCATTTTCAAGGCTTCATATTTCTCTTTTATTACCATACATTTTGTCCTTCAGAACTGGTACATATTAATACTTGCTGATGTTATTTAGGCATTTGATAATATTACTTACAACTGAAAAAATTAAACAGACTTGGAGAGAGTAGCCACTCTTTAGACCTTTTCTTCCTTTCTTTTTTCATTTTTTTTGATCATGCTGGGATTTGAACTCAAGGGTTTCAAACTTGGCTCAGCTTGTTGCTCAGCTAGTATTCTATTACTTGAATCATGCCTCCAGCCTGGTTTTTAACTGGTTGTTTTGCAGTTGGAGTCTGGAGGACTTTTCTGCCCAAGCTGGCTTCTGGAACTGTGTTCCTCTTGATCTCAGACTAATGAGTAGCTAAGATTACAAGTATTAGCCATGAACACCTTTCTTTTCTTCTTTCTTTATTTCATTCTCTCATTCGTCTGTTCTTATAAAGTATTCTGAGCCAAATGCTAATCCAAACATTAACTTCGGTTTATTCCTTAATTGAAAAGTATATTGAGCTGAGGACCAGTAGCTCACAGCTACTCAGGAGGCTGAGATCTGAAGATTATAGTTCCAAGTCAGCCTGGGCAGGAAAGTAAGTCTTTTGTTTCCAATTAGCCAGCAAAAAGCTGGAAGTAGAGCTGTGGCTAAGTGGTGGAGTACCCCAAGCAGAAAAAGCTAAGGAATAGCACTTAGGCCCTGAGTTCAAGCCTCAGTACTGGCACATACAAAAAAATATGTGTATCTTTGGTACTGGGGATTAACCACTTAGCCACATCTTAGCCCTGAAAAGTATGTCTTAACAGTATTAATTGAGTGGGAGTTCTTTTGTTTTGTTTTGTTTAGAGTCTTACTTTGCAGCTCAAGCTGGTCTAGAACTCACTTTGAAGCCTAGGGTGGCCTTGAACTAAGAATCTTCCTGCCTCAGCCTCCCAAGTGGTAAGATTCAGATGTGTACCACCACACTCAGCTTATAAGTTGAGTTTTAATTATAAAAATGCATAAATAATGCCTGGGACTGTGGCTTAGTGGCAGAGTGCTTGCCTACCATGCATGAAGCCCTGGGTTCTATTGCTCAGTACCACATAAACAGAAAAATCCAGAAGTGGTACTGTGACTCAAGTGATAGAGTGCTAACATTGAGCAAAAGAAGCTCAGGGACAGTGCCTAGGTTCTGACTTCAAGCCCAAGGTCTGGCAAAAGCAAAACAAAAACCCATAAAAAGATAGACAAATAGTACTTCTTAATAAACTTTACTAATGCTGGAAAAAGAAAAGATTGAAATTGAACTATCTGATAAAGCCTTGGAAATAAAATGTTTTATAGGCATAGTTTCTTTTGTTTCTGACGATAAATATCAGAGAGACCACTACTGTGTGTAGCTTACAGGTAGCGCAAAAAGTGAGCCTGATTACAACTACATGAGGCCTACAGAACTCACTTTGTACTATAGTTTTGTACTATAGATTTGTACTATAGTTATCTGGGATAGGTGGATTTGCATTTCACTCAGACCCCTGAGGAGCAATCACCACACTAGAGTATCTAGCAGTATGTTGAGCCTTAGATGATAACAAAATAAGTCCATAAAGTAGTAACTTTTTCAGACTTAGGCAGAAAATGATAGACAATTGGGACCCATATAAATGCTTCAAGTCGTTTTAATTTTTTTTTTTTTGCCAGTCCTGGGGCTTGAATGCAGAACCTGGAAACTGTCCCTGAGCTTCTTTTGCTCAAGGTTAGCACTCTACCACCTGAGCCACAGCGCCATTTCCCACTTTTTCTAAAGTTTATGTGGTACTAAGGAATTGAACCCAGGGCTTCATGCATGCTAGGCAAGCACCCTACAACTAAGCCACATTGCCAGCCCCATAATTGTTTTTTTAAGGAAAGATAATATAAACAAAGTATATTTATTGTAAGAAGAACTCTCTTTCTCCATACCTCACCCCCATACATGGATTCTCTTTCTGAATTTGAAGGCAAAAGGTAGAATAAGAGAAGGTTGGAATAGGAAATTTCTTTGATCGATTAAGCTTGAGTGTATCATGTGGTTTTATGAAAATAAAGATTATGGCCAACTGTGGTAGTATTCTAAATTGCAGCACTCAGGAAGCAGAGGCAAGAGGATGTCAAGTTTGAGGCTGTCTGGGATACCTACCATCTCAAAAAGAAAAAAAGTTCCTCATTATCAAAACATAGTATATATTTATACTTGAATCAGTAGGACATTGCCTTTTCTCTGAAATAACTAAAAATAGTAGGGCCCCTGGTGTGATACTGTTTGTTAATCAAATGACAACTGACAAAAGCTTAAACTGAAGTTACCTTTCAGAAAATGGAGCTCCACCTTCTGGCGTAGAGATAATTATCCACCCACTTCCACTATTTCTCTTAAATGGTAGAATTTAGCCATAAGCAGCTTTCTTTCCACCAAGGGGAAGAGTAATATATTTATTGTACTTTCTTATATCATTGTAAGAACTCTCAAGTTATAGTTTACTGTGACAAAAGTTATATATTTGAAGTTCTGTGAACTTTGATTTAAAAATAGAATATATTCCAGGTGCCAGTAGCTTGTATCTGTAATCCTAGCTCCTCAGGAAGCTGAGATCTGAGGATCACTTTTTGAACCCAACTTAAACAGGAAAGTCAATTAACCACCCAAAACCCAGAAGTGGAGCTGTGGCTCAAATGGTAGAATGCTAACCTTGAGTAAAAAAGCTAAGTACAGGGCTGGGAAGGTGGCTCAGTGGTAGGGTGTTTGCCTCCCATGCATGAAGCCCTGGGTTCCATTCCTCAGTACCACATAAATAGAAAAAGTGGAATTGGCGCTGTGGTTCAGGTGGTTGAGCATTAGCCTTGAGCTGAAGAGCTGAGAGAAAGTGCCCAGGCCCACGACCAACCTTCCTCCCTCAAAAAATAAAAAATAAAAATAAAAAGCTAAGGACAGTGCCCAGACCCTGAGTTCAAACCCAGGACTGACACACATACAAAATAAATAGTAGACTGCAATATATACATATATCTATATCTATCTATCTATATATATATCTTATACCAGACTTAAAAATGCAGCTTTCCAAGGACATTTCATTCTCAGAATGAAAGAAGATTCTGCGTTTATGTAAAGTTGGAGCCTCAGACCAGCTATATTACTTTTTTCTCTATTTAAGACTTAGTAGAGGGCTGGGAATGCAGCTTAATGGCTAGCATGCATAAAACCCTGGGTTCAATTCCTTGTACAACATAAACAGAAAACGCCAGAAATGGTGCTGTGGCTCAATTGGTAGAGTGATATCCTTAAGCAAAAAGAAGCTCAGAGATAGTTCCTAGGCCCTGAGTTCAGGCCCCAGATATGGGGCTTGGAAAAAAAAAAAAAGACTTAGTAGATAGGTTGTATCACTGGCAAAAGGTGACTCTTCGGGCCTTAAAGAATTACTTTTATCTTAAATATGTATCCTAGTTAGTTCTTGATATCAAGAATAAAGCTGAAGACAGGAAAATTTAAATGGAATGATAGGTTATTGTCACATATGCTCAAACACTGCACATACTTCAATTCTCAGAATAATCATTCTGTAATTTTTCATTATAGGTCATGTGAAACTAACAGACTTTGGACTATGCAAAGAATCTATTCATGATGGAACAGTCACACACACATTTTGTGGAACAATAGAATACATGTGAGCTACACGTTAAAAGAAATATACCTGGTTTGGGGGGTCATACCTTTTACCTGGTTTAAGTAATATGTCATAATTTTCAGTAGTATACTTCCTGTACTGTTTTTTATTTACCTTTTTGTTTTTTTGTGTGTTTTTATTTTTTCTGGGGCTTGAACTTATTTTTGTTTTTAATATCTTAATTCGGATAAAATGCAATTGGGTACATTTTGAGGCAACTTTTTCTCATTGTAGGGCCCCAGAAATCTTGATGAGAAGTGGCCACAATCGTGCTGTGGATTGGTGGAGTTTGGGAGCATTAATGTATGACATGCTGACTGGAGCAGTAGGTGCACTGTTAAAACCTGCATGTATTCTGTACTGAGTAATTGTTAAACTACTATAGCAAGAGATCTTTCCTGTACTTTTTGAAAACATTACCAAAAAAAAAAAAAAAGAAAAAAAAAAGAAAAGAAAACGTTGCCAAAACAGTTACTACCAAAGTGATAAAGACTTATCAGCAGTTTACTACTTATATTGTGTTATGATTATATGGGAATTGAACCCAAGGTCTCATACATATGCTAGGCAAACTCTCTGCCACTTGAATACACCCCCAGCCCTTTGACTGTATTTTGTCCCCTACCCCCTTCTTTTTGGTAGTACTAAAATTTGAAATAAGGTGGTTAATTGGAGATAAGAGTCTCATGGTCTTTCCTACCCAGGCTGGCTTTGAGCTGCGATCCTCAGATCACAGCCTGAGTAGCTAAATTATAAACATGAGCCAGTGGTGCCCAGCTTCCTTAGCTTTGTTTTTTTTGGTCGGTCATGGGTCTTGAACTCTGGGCCTGGGCACTGTCCCGAAGCTCTTTACCTCAAGGCTAGTGCTCTACCACTTGAGCCACAGTACCACTTCTGGTTTTCTGAGTGGTTTATTGAAGGTGAGAGTCTCACGGTCTTTCCTGCCAGGGCTGGCTTTGAACTGTGATACTCAGATTTCTGCCTCCTGAGTAGCTAGGATTACAGGCGTGAGCCACCAGCGCCTGGCTTCCTTAGTTTTTGCTCAGAGCTAGCACTCTACCACCTGAGCCTCAGCTCTGTTTCTAGCTTTTTACTGGTTTATTGGACATAAGGATCTTGTACTTTCTTTCTTTTTTTTTTTTTTGGGTCCAGTTGTGGGGCCTGAACTCTGGGCCTGGGCACTGTCCCTCAGCTCTTCAGCTCAAGGCTAGCACTCTACCACTTGAGCCACAGCGCCACTTCT